TTGTTTAACTTGCCGATGTCAAAAACTCACTGACCACCCAAAAAAGGTAGCCAGGTAGGCGCCCACCAAACATTTGTGCCCAGGCGTCCATTAACTTTGTAGCTCTCTGTTTCTTCAGCGTCAAATGCAGAGCAAAGCCTACGCGATATTGTCCAAAGATTGTGAAACTGCCTGGTGTGAAATGTGTAGAGCAAACTAACAACTTTGAACTGAAGTTTTCCAGGACCCTGTTAAAGATGTGGGAGCTGAAGTTGACCTTCTATTCCCCAGCATGTTTTGCAAATTTTCTGTTCCACCTTAAATGGTGCCGCAGTTACATTCTGGCACTGTGCATTCTGGAAAGGTGTATAATTTCTGCAAATAGTCCGCCATTTCAATTGCTGTTGCTTCAGTGTTGTTTCCTCCTGGGCCAGATTGTGGGCTGGCATATGTAAATTTTGGGGGTGTAAATATTAACGAGTCAAGGCTAGGATATGGAGCAGTCTAGGATTTTGGAATCGGCCTGTTTCACCGCTCTCGTTTAAATGTAGGATTTGTTTTTGAAGGAGGAGACCCACCGTGTTTGAGGTTCACAGTATGTCAGTTACATGTACCAAACACTTCTTATTCAGCTATGCCAATGTAAATACAGTTTTCCATTCTATGGCACTTTTAATTGACGTATGTTCTGGAGAAGTGTTTCTAATGGTTTAGTTTACATTTACACTTAATGTAAACTAAATAGTAATTATCCCAGGGCTGTTCTGTAAGCCTATTCAACTACACCAAAGTTCACTTTGGGTGCCGTCCTATCTGTTTAAGATGAATTGGGTAATCAGACAGCAGTGGAAAAAGTGGTTTAGCAGCAGACACCCTTTCAAGTGAATTCAGCTACTGTAATATGCACGCTTTACTGACATATGGGTTCAGTTTCACACACAAAAAAGCACTATTGACAGAGTGGGAAGCTCTGGAGCAGTCGCACATGAGCGTAAGGTTACCATGTCCAGTACCAAGCATCAGCCAGAGGGTATAAGGCCCCACCATTGGACTGTGGAGCAGTAGTACTGCATTCTCTGGAGCGATTAAGCTCCGTCCAATACCTTTGGGATGAGCTTGAGTGGTGTTTGTGTTCCAGAATTAAACCTCCAGCATCAGTACCTGACCTCATCAATGCTATTGAATGCAATCAGATCCTCACAGCAATGTTCCAACATCTAGAGTAACACCTTCCTAGAAGAATAAAGGCTGTTACTGCAGCAAAGAGGAATAAGCACCTTATAATACCCTTGATTTTAGAAGAAACTTCAGTTGAGCAGGTGTCTACACACTTATGGGCATATAACGTATGTGCTCAGTCGGGGATGAACACACATAACTAGGACTAGTATCTAATAGGTCCTCCATTGGTATTTTTCTTTGTTATGTGTAGTAAACTCCTTGTCTTTACAGGGGTGTTCCTGAAGACAGTGAAAACACAAGATATGTCGCCATCTGCTGGCCACATGAGCTCCCAGCTTCGTTTCAACAGAACAGTTCAACAGCAGCCACAACAGGGGTGAGGAGGCTTCACTGATGGTTGGCCTTTTTTGTGTGTATGTGTGCAGACAGTATATATATATATATGTGTGTGTATTGTTTCTCCTCATTGTTTCTGTGCTCATTGTCCATTTTATCAGCTCCACTTACTACATAGGTGCACTTTGTAGTTCTGATCCACTCGTACCGGCACAACACACACTAACACACCACCATGTATATATATATATATATATATATATATATATATATATATATATGTGTGTGTGTGTGTGTGTGTGTGTATATCTTCTGATACAGATACATAAACGTTTATAAATGTAGAAGTTGGTACAGAGAAATATAACATTTTTTGTAGGGTTATAAATGTAGAAAAAAGGGAATAAAATGCAGACAGCTTCTCCTAAATGTTCCGATGTCAGAAGTACAATAAATAAATCCTTTTGAAAGATTGAATCTGACCATCTGACCACTCATGTGCATCCATGAAAAACAATATTTTGAATGGGCATGATTCAAATGTGTATATCGGTTTTACACAAATAATATTTTCTTTTTAGGTTTCTTAAAAGTTCTAAAGAGGTGTTAATTTGTCCGAATTATACACATTAAATATCCTTGTAAGCCTGTGGTCTTCGGCATTTAATTGTTTGGCTTAAATAATACAGTGTCACACACACGTCTGCAGAAAAAAGTGAGGCACTGAATTAACTTGATTCAGATGTGTACATCATTTCCAAATAAATAAAATATATTCCACCAAGATTGTTTTACTTTTCATTTCATTTACTTTTAGCCGTACTTTGATATAATTTTATTTTTGGGGAAATAAAGTGCACATTTAAATCAAGTATATTCAATGCGTCACTTTTTGTTTTGTGTTGACATGCATTAAACTGAACTCGTGGTTAAGCTAGCATACACAGAGATGTGTCAATATGGGTGGGAGTTACTTTGAAGAGGATAAATGTAGATGTAAGATGTAAACAGAATCATTCAGAGTGATTCGATGTGAAATGCGCTGTTCTAGAACACTTTAGAATTGTTCAGAGTGGTGATGATAGAAAACCAGACATCTGAGTTTAACCCCTTAAGTGGTCAGGGTCCACCGGAAGGCCCAAAGTTTTATTAAACACATCTAAAAGAATAGCTCAACCAGTTCACATTGGAGTCCCTGTGGTTACTGATTAATAAGCCTTAGTATGTATTAAACCTGGGATTTTTTTAGGGCTGATGTTTCTAAAATCCCCCTCACAGAAAGTTTTAATATGAAATGATTAGTTGTGAACTGATAGCTGTGAGAGATTGGGCCTTAAACATTATTTTCATACGGTGCAAACAAGTGTGTTCAAAATTTTGATAATTCTTGTGATTAATACGTCTAAAACAGCCTGGGGTCAAAGAACACCAATGTGAACAAAATGTGTACAGGACACTGAAAGCATATCATCATGTTTATTTTATGTTTACCTAGTTGTCCCCATTAAATTAGGTAAACGTCATTAAATATGAAGCAAAAAATGAGGCCAAAAATTAGATAAGTTAATAAAGCATTATTTTCAGTGCATCGGTAAGTAAACAGGAATTGTGTTAATGTAATATATTTTATTGAAGTAGAAACAATGTACAGCTTTGAACAAAGTAAACTTAAAGCACAGTTTATTTCAGCATATATTCTGTGATCTATTTTTAGTATAAAGCAATGGAAACATTCTCACACATTAATATTTATTAAAACTGCAAATATTTTCCACAGTTTTAAGCAACAGTGTTTTCTTTCTTTCAGGTTATTCTTGCTTCTCAGATGTAAGCATCGGCCCAAACAACTGTGACGGTAAACTTTTTGTGTTTAAATGTTCTCTCGCCTTGAGTAAACATGATCCTAATATTAACCTTCTGAATCCCCTTAGGAAATATGAGAATGCGTCTAGTGACGTAGCTCAGCTATGCACCTCCTCTGTCCTGTAAATGGAGCTAATATTTTACCTATTATGATGAAGACTGAAACAGAGGGGATCCCCTGATCCCTTAATGTGCACAAATACTAACAGAAGATTTAACGTTGTACGTATTTGTATATGATACTCTAATTACAACATTTTAGAACTCAGTGACTTTACAAATGTATTTTTCTGTTATATTGTTTTACCACTGTATTGGTTCCTAACCTGCATGTGAAGTCTTGATTGAAGTTAAGAGCTGTTATTCATTTATTTTAGATATTAGTCTTCAGGTCAGTGAACAGAGAAAGGTCCCGAGGAACAGTAAATAAAAGAAGCGGAAATAAGGACAAAACTGGTGTAATTACTAACCAGGCTCATGGATTTTCACCATGCTATTTAGAAAGAGTACCAGCTCAGTTTTAAACTCAGACGCAGAGGCTAGAGAAAGTAATAGAAACATGACTTAGAAACAGTAATAACTTCATTTTCTGACTCAATTTAAAAAGAACATCTAATCAGTGTCTAGGCAGTTACACATTTTGTTAGGATTAATAGTGGCATTCTCACATTTTTGGTAGAAGTCAAAGCTTTTTTTGCTTATTGTTATTATTGTTAGTAGTAGTAATAGTAGTGTTACGGGAAGCACTTAAAGGAGAATTCCACAGATTTTACGAAATTTCTACATAAATTATTGAAATGAAAACAAATTCATTTAAAGTGGTTTAATGTAAAATGGTACATTGCAGAGACATTTATCAACTCTATTAACTTCTTTACAGTAGTAGTGATAGGAACTGGGGGTCACAATGTCTACAACACAAATATAGCCAATTCATTTACTATCCAAAATGACTACTGGGCCTACACACAACCTCTGAGTTTTGTTTGTAATGGTGATAATGGTAAAATAGTAAATCTGAAAAATAAGTTTTCTTTAAGGACTATATTTCCTTGCAACAGCCTGCGTGTACCTCTCTGCCATAATAATTTTAAAAATGTATAAGATTTAGCCCAAAACTTTATTTCTGACCTATCAAAAAAACAGGACCTCAGGCATTAGGCAACATATTTGTAACAACTTTGTGATATAACATTCTGTGAGGTAGCTTTAGAGCCATTAAACACTTCAAACATCTGGTTCTTATCACCACCACTGGGAACAGTTCTGACTTGGTACCTTTAAAATGGAACATTTCACATCAAAAAACTCTGAATGACTTTGCTTACATCTTATTTAATTATGCAGGAAAACTCATGGAATTCCCCTTTAAAAATCTCGCAACATCTTTATGCAAAATGAGCCTTGCTTACTACAGTCACTTGACATGCTAGAACAGTATGAAAGGGACTGTGCCTCTGTGCCCTGAAAGCAGACAAAGCACTTAAATTTCTAGAGTTACTCAGGTGAGTTGAGATGAAGGCTATTAATAAAGTGTTATTAGACTCCGTCTAGGATGTTCATTGAATTGCTGAGTTGAATGCATAATCTCAAGTTCATTTCCTCATGCTGTTCCACGTAGGAGGACTGGGCCTGGTCATAAAAGGCACCGCAAGACTGAGCCTTCACACGAGTCGTGCGTCTGTCGTGGTTGCAGGGAGTCTCTCAGACTATGGCTCTGCAAGGGGCACTCATAGTACTAATAATACTTCTTTCAGGTAAACATTTTGAATGAATTTTTATATTCTGTCTACAAAAATTTTTATATTCTGTCTTATATTCTGTCTATATTCTGCCATTCAGAGATCACCTCTAACCCCCCCAGAAAAGTGGTATGAAGTTAATACTGATTTGCAGGTCAGTTTTGTTCCATCTCAAGTGCTGAAACAAGTAAGTAGTTGACTATTAAAAATCTTGTATCATTATTCATGATTAATAATTTCATATATTTAATTGAAATATTTTATCACTCTTCTATGTTATGTGTACTAGTTGTTAAGTAATCTTTTTCTCATCTCATCCTTCAGATGTGTGTAAGACTTACGGCAGTGGAGTCATTCAGTCATTCAGTAAGACCTTGTTCTATCTGAAGTCTACGTGTCCTGTCACACTGACTCGCTTCACTCTTCTGGGGGTAAACTGCGATGTCACTGTCCAGCGTGGGTCAACCGGCCTCATGACCAGAGTAGAGATTTTGGTGAATAAAGTTACCACCATACTTCAGGATGGCAAAGTCACTGTGGAAGGAAACAGGTATTTGTCAACTGCTGCTATCAGTGCTTTAGGAGTGGACATGAGAATGAGATTTAGTTTTTTTCTGATGCTGTCATTGGGCCTCATTCACCAATCGTTCTTAAGAAAAAAATTCTTCTTAAAACCCACCTTTCTCACAGTTTTCATGAAGATTCTGACAGTCACCACTAGTCAATGTTTTCTTATTTGGGATTTGTTCTTAAGTAAGAACAGAATCTACACAGACTCAAGAGCACAAAGGTGTGAACAATTCTGTGGTTTAAGAACACATCAAGAATCTGACGATGACTTTTTTTAGGACCTTTCTCAGGAACAAATTTAGGAAAAACTCAGGAAGATATTGGTGAACGAGGCCCATTATTTTCTTCTCAAACTCTTAACACCCTCTGTTTTGAGAATATTAAGAGTTCTCATTTTAAAATATCTTTAAATGGACCATGACATTCTTGTTATTATGTTCAAATAATAAAGTATTGTGTGGTCTGTTTATCTCTCTTTTTCAGTATCTCTCTTCCCTTTGAACACACATATCAGCATGTATATCAGTATGGCGTCTACATCAAGCTTCGAAGCAAAGTTCTCCCCTTTTCTGTCACCTGGCGGAACCATTCTGAGGGTGTCAGTGCGCTTTGGGTGAGATGGCAAGCCACATTACAAACAAGACATAGAGCTGCATCTTCTCTTTCTCTACAACCACGATTAGAGTCTGTAGCAAAAAAAAAAGAAAACAGCAAAAATGTCAGCAGCAAAAAAACATTAAAACATATCGCAGTCATTAGCTAACAAAATATTAAAAATCCAACCTTCATTGCTTTACATTACATAACAGTATAAAATCTTTGCATAAAGTAATTGTTTTGTTATCACTCCTGTCGGAACAAAACCTCGTAACTCCATTTTCACAGTTTTCTCCATTTCCAGTTTTTTTCCTCGTAACTCCATTTTCACAGTTTTCTCCATTTCCAGTTTTTTTCCTCGTAACTCCATTTTCACAGTTTTCTCCATTTCCAGTTTTTTTCCTCGTAACTCCATTTTCACAGTTTTCTCCATTTCCAGTTTTTGACATAATTCAAAAGTATACTTTGTCCTGTACATTGTGTAGAGTGAGTAGAGTAAAATGTTTTTTTCCTTCTCCTGTAAAGTTATAATTTTTGAGATATGAGGTGTTGTTCTGACAACAGCGTTATATTTGTGTTGCAATTAATATACCATCGCTGTCCAAAAAAGTGTCTCAAAAATGGATTTGGATCATTTCTGTTGGTCCATTAATCTTGAAATGTTCACACATTGTAAAGAACAGCTGCTGTGTTCAAATGATAAAAATCTGAAAAAATAGGCATTTCTTCATTTTGTATAAAAAATGGTCTCCATTTTAAATGTTTTTAATTTTTATATAGAAAAAAGTGCCCACATGCTTGTGTTGCTGAACATACAGAGTAACTGTTTGATGTCACATTTCTCTAGGTGCGGCTGGATAATCCCTTAGTGGATGGGATGACTGGGATGTGTGGGCTGAAAAACCACGGTCAGTGTCAAAAAAGTTGAATTTTTTAATTAAGAATAATTTTAATAGAGAATGTTGCAATATTGTGTGTATATTGTATAATCTTTCTTTGTTTGTTAGGAATGGTTAATTTATGGCTTGATGGCTTAATGTTCCTTGATCACAGATGCAGTCATTCCACTATGACCATGTCCATTTTGTTTGTCCTGTTTTTTTGTTTGTTTGTTTATTTGTTTTTCTTCTGTGCGGTTTTCTTATTGGATGCAGCAAATTTAGGGCAGTTTATATCTACCAATGTCATCTCTGATGGAAAATGTGTAACTGAAGATTCTCTCAAGCCTCCTCAACCCTCAGCGGTATGTGAAACAAATATGTTTAAGTAGCTTAACTTCTGGTCTACTAGCAGAGGTGCTAATGTCCTTCTCTTTGTGTGGTCAAAGGGAGAGCTCTGGTTGCTGGGACTCCTGTCAGTATGTTCCCTGTCAGCGTCTAGCATGCAAGCATGGGGTTGAACCCCATGATTTTGGGTGTTCTGCCTGTGCTTTGCTTGACTTGGAGAATAATTCTTGCTATGACACAGTGATGACTTAAGTGGGATTGGAGAATATGTGGAGTTAGTTCAGGGGCTGTAATGTCAATGTCCTTATTTCCTGTCATGATTGTCTTTAGGCCCCAGTAGAAAGTGTCCTTGCCCCTCCATATTTCAGAATGCACATTCAATATAAATTTTATCCAATAAATATTATTATTTATTTTCCAGGTATGTGAAGTCCTGTCCTTTGCCATTGGGTGTCCTACCTCGGCAAACACATACTTGGAACTCTGCTCACTTAGCATGTTTAAAAACATAAATGTGGACGCGAAGTGTGCGTTTTTTGAAGAGGTCGCTCACTGGTGTGGAAATCAGTCTCGACTGTGGCCTGTATGGAGACAAAAAACCTCATGTAGTGAGTTGAATTATTTAGCCCATAGCATCTCATTGAATCTCCTGGAGTTTCAAACTATACAAGCAATACTGAAAATGAAAACTTTTCTACAGAGCCGCCTACATGTCCTGGAGATCTGAAATATCAGGAATTGGGTCTCCCCTTTCCCCCCACCTGCACCAGCCCCCAGCCACCTTCAGAATCCTTAATCAGCACTTGCTTGCCCCCACCAGGTGGGTTTATTTACATATAAAATTCCTTAACATTTGTTCTAAGATGTCTGTGTGCTGAGAATATTTTTTAAAAGCCTTGTATGTTAAAAGGCGTCCAGTTTTGTAATGAAATGTGACCCCTTGCACTGTGCTACTGTTAACTGTCCTAGATTAAAAATATAGCTTTATTAATCAGTACAGCTGTGCAGCTAGGGTAGCATGTATGTATATCATATCATTAGGTAATACCCTTGTCATCTTCAATGCATTCTCATGCAGGCATGGTCCTCAACGATAGAGCTGAAGGCTACCACTGTGTTAGTGTGAAGGACTGTCCATGTGTGTATGGAGGGAAGACATATCCACCAGGGGCAGAGCGCAACTCCAAGTGTCAGTCATGGTAAGAAAATAGTTATTAAATAGTAGTAGGGCGGCACGGTGGCGCGGTGGGTAGCACTGTCGCCTCAGAGCAAGAAGGGCCTGGGTTCCGTGTCTGCGTGGGTTTCCTCCCACAGTCCAAAGACATACAGTCAGGCCAATTGGAGATGGTAAATTGCCCCTAGGTGTGAGTGTGTGTGAATGAATGTGTATGTCTGTCTGTCTGCCCTGCGATGGACTGGCGACCTGTCCAGGGTGTATCCTGCCTTCCGCCCGATGACAGCAGGGATAGGCCCCCCGCAACCCAGAAGGAGAAGCAGCTTAGAAGATGTGTGTGTAGTCTGTATTATATATTGGCCTTTTCAATACTGATATGGCAGGTTGTAGTATGCCATAAATGAGCACTTTGTGCTGTGAGCATTCTGACTTACCACAGAATGTTTCTTTGACTGTTTTGAAGTGTGAATGTATTCACATGGTTCCTACAACAGTTAAATAATGACATATTTTTGGTCAGGCCACAATGCAGACCTTTAATCAGGCCATCAGTGTGTTTTAAGTATTGCCTGTCACGACAGCAGTTCCCCGTATAAACACACTGTTTACACTGCTGGAGTGACAATCAGATCAAGTCTGTTTTTAAAATGTCAGTATTTATGGCAAAAATGTATATCTTGCAATATTATTCAGCCCCTACTCTGCTGAATATATATGTATGTAGTGTTGCACCAATACCGATACTGTATCGTTATCAGTGCCAATACTGGCGCTTAAATGCAGTATTGGTGTTGGTGATGGAGATACCGATACATATGAGCGATACCATGAAGAAATTTCGGAAATACACAGAACTTAACAACATGGTAACAGTGTGGGACGACAAGCAGCGATAAAATGCTCATGGCAGAATCTGTAACAGCAGTGTTTGGTGTGAAGAACACACTAACGGAGCCGCTTACCTGAACAGCTGAGCTGCTTCTTTCAGTAATCACTCGTCTGCCGCTGTGAGGTCACGTAATGATAACTTTTAGCCTCGATTTAGCCTTTAGCATAGCAGCCCGCTAGCCGGGCCGGTGAGTCCAGTAGCCCCACCTATGATGCACCTCCATCGATCAGCTGTATCACTCACAGCGGGGTCTCAAGGGCCGTCACTTCAACCAAGCCAGAAAAAATAATGAAAGTCACTGATACTGACAGCATGAACGACGGTGATATTTACTGAACTGATGCTCAGAGATGCAGCACGAGTCAGGACGCACATGTGAGACAAATGTGTTGAGAAATGTGGAGGTGAAACAACATTCAGCTCTGTTTTTTAGCCAGAGCAGCTGGTGTGTGCTGATGGGTAAACACCACAGGTTTTGTATACTGTTCAGTTCTGTTTTAACTGTTTTGCACTATGAAGATATTTTACATTTACATAACTTGTTAAAGATTTTATTATTTTATTTTTATTATTATATTTTATTACTAATTTTATAATAGTAAATACTAAATATATACCATAAATGAATAAAAATAAATTTTCTTAAGCATCTAATAAATATAATCCAACAAGTAAATGCCACCCAGCTGAGCTGAGTATGTTTTATGTGTGATGAAGAACATAGATTTTACCAAAATAAAATATTTAAAAAATGTAATTGTATATGTATCGGGTCTTATAGATATAATTAGATTAGGTAGTTAGTATGGGTATTGGTACTCTGTATCTGCCGATACTAAAGGATCAGGCATCGGACGGAAAAAAATATTTGATAATACCTGATAAATTCAATTATGGAAATATTCAACAATGGAAAAGTCATATTTATGAACTTACACACTTCAACAAATAAATATTTGTTTATCAAGCCAAATACTAGTTTGTCACCAGTAGCATGCAGTTCTGCACCAGGCTGAATGAGAAGGTGATTTGGCAGAGCTCAGTAGACTTCAGTTTTAACTCCAGGTCCAGTCCCCAAGCTTCCTACTGTTCTGGGTTGCTAGCTACCTGTTTTCAGTTGTATTTATTACTGAGTATTAAGAAGAATGTACTGGCTAGCTGGGTATCCAGAGGTGAAGAAAAATTCATCAGACTTAGCCGTTAAATATAAAACAGCCGTTAAGTTTAGCACATGCTGTGGTAGAAAGTGATTTTGAATGGATTAAAACCTTGATCACTCCTCACATTAACAAGAGCTGACCAACATTTGTTTAAGATGGTTGTTTAACCCCTTAACATTCAAGGTTTATTTAATACCAATTATTCAGTAACTGCAGGGACTTCAATGACATCTAATGGAGCTATTCTTAGGTTATGAAAGTGTGTAATAAAACTTTGGGCAAAGCCAAAACATGGCTTATTAAGGGGTTAAAAGATGCTTTTTCCTTTGCTCTTCTGCACTTTACAGTGTTGTTCAAACAGAGCCAGCAACCTCTTTGGGGCTGCTAGATTGGGAATGATCCCCAGGTTCGCATTTTGAAGCAACAATGAAAATGACTATCAGTGATAATCTTTATATAAACCTTGTAGTATAAAGATTTATTACAAATTAAAATCAATAAATAGAATTTATGCATTAGTGCAGCACAATAATAATAATATTAATAATTATTATTATTATTTTAATAGCAATAATACGAATAAAAAGTGAAACATCTTGGGCTTTTCTTATTCTTATAGACTATTAGAAAATTTGATTTACTAGTAGACAGAATCCAGGTCTAATCCAATGTGTCTTTTGTCTTAGTGTATGCATCCAAGGCAAATGGATCTGCTCTGCCAATGTCTGTCCTCCTACGTGTAACATTGAAGGGCAGTTCGTCACTACCTTTGATGGGAAACAATATTCTGTGCCTGGGAAATGTACCTATGTGGCTGCAAGGGTGAGTGAAAAAACACATAAAAATAAATTCATATTCAGTATAATATCAGTTATAATTGATTATTTAATTTTACCAAATGCCATGGCAGGGATTCAACTGGAAAGTGGCTATCAAGTTTTCTGACACAGATGCGTCTATAGCAGAAATGTACCTTGATGTGTATCAGGTGTGTTTTCTTATTCTTCAATCAATTACATTGGTGTTAATTCTCTTTTTGAGAACAAACATTGTACCAAAGAGCAATGATAATGCTTTACTCTTTGTTTAGGAGAAGTACACATTTTCCTCAAACAGCGTGAAACTTGGACATGACGAAATCACTGATCTGTCTCAAACTGGTAGGTCCCGTTAAGAGTGAAATGAATAAGGGTTTATGCTGAGTTGCTAGTTCATTATGTAACTATCTATGTAAGTCTATGTAAGTATCCTATACATTGGCTGTTTTATCAAAAACACCTACCATATACATCTAGATGTACTTTGTACGTCTACAATTACTCACTGTAGTCCATTCATAAATGAAAAGGTGCCACCCTAAGACCGGAACTCATCACTCCCATTGGTTTTCCACACCTCAGTGTCATTACTGGGTTGAGAATAGTCTGCTAGCCAGAACTTTCCAAGACTGACTCTGTGGTCAGAAACTGAGCATGATAAAACAACAGCTGTATCTTTATCTGTACACCAGCATTCTGTAAATAACATTGAGGTTTCTGGGCTACCTTAAAATTCTATTTTAGAATCTGTTTTATGCCCTGTCATTTTACTGTTTGAAATTAAAATTACTGAAATATTTTAAGTCAGCCCACACACTAACTTTTTAAAGTTAAAACCCCTTTTTTTTTACAGTACAAGGTGAACAAACACAACCAGTGTGTCTAATAAAATGACTACATAGTGTCTAAAAGCCCCAGCAAGCACAACATCCACTGGTATCACTCCTGTACTGAGAATGTTCCACCACCCAAGTCATATCTGGGCAGTGGAGGTCTTGAGATGGATCCTTTCCATCGTTAGAGAGGATATAAAGGGTCAGAAAAATTCTGCAGCAACAGATGGGCTAAAGTTACAAATGTGTAAAGTGCATCTGTATGATAGGTGTACCTAGAAATTAAATTAAGATGATGGAGGTGGGGAAAACCTATTGTCATCCATATGGAAACAATATTGTTCATTTTGCGTAGTTTTATGTGGCGTTCACAGCACTAATATAATGAAAATGAGTTTGAATTGAATAGCCTTTGTGATTCTGTGTTCAGATTTACTTGTCTTTGGCATTGGAATTATATCAAATGTAAGTCAAGATAAAGCCTTTAACTTAGCCAAATAAATTGTTCTGAACAATGATGCCTCCCATCAGCCCTTTCTGTTCTTTTTTAGCTGTACACTTGGAGCAGCTGTCTTCTGTTCTTAAAACACTGTTGGTCGAAATAGTGTTGTTTATCCACAAAACTTGGATGGATCTGTTAGCGGTTCAGTGCAATCCAGTCAGATTTGGAGACATGCTTCTTAAACTGCTGAAACCCCAGCCTCCTTGCTAACCTTACTAACCAGTTTTACTGATTGAGCTGATAAGCGATGCTAATCAATATTAAACACTATTCACTAGCTAACTAGGTGCAAATACCTTTGAGTATGTGTTTTTTGAAAAACATTTAACATCATAGTCATGCCAGGCTGTCATATTTTTATTAAACACAATAATGTGTAAATGTTTAGAGGTTGTCTGTCAGCGCAGTTTATCGTATTGAATAGTTACATTGATTTCCTGAAGATTAAATTGGAAAAATAATATGCTTCCGTCTTTTGACACTAATGAAGCTGTGCCACAGCTCTGCTCCGGCGTGTTCCAGCCCAGTTTAACTCTGACTTAATAAACTGGCAACTTGTGAAGATCAGCTGGACTCAGCAGGGTTATTATAGTTTTGAAGTTTTCATTAGTTTTTATTTTCATTTAATTTTTCATTTCACTTCAGTTTCAGTTAGTTTTAAGGATGAATTAATAGTTTTAGTTTACTCAAATTTCATGCTGCAGCTTTTTTTTAAAAGCATCGCACCACTTTAACTGAAAATATAAATATACATCTAGAAGATAAAGAGTATTTAAATCCTTCATTTCATCAAGCATGTCAGTGGTTTCAGTGTCGCAGACTGCCATCTGTTTCACACGTGTGCAGACTGAGAAATCCGAAAGAAATCAGAGTAAGGGTATACATGCACTGAGAAATGTGATTACTGTGCTAAAATCCAGCTCTCTTTTTTATTCTTAATCAGATTTCTAGACCTTACTCCGATCTAAGAAATCAGAGTGTGCTGTTTACATGACCATTTGAATAATCAGATAACTGCAGAAATCCGATTATGATCTGATTTTTGAGTGCATGTAAACGCACTTATAGTTTTTTGTCATGTTTAGTTTTGTTACAGTTGTTTTTCAGAGGTAATTTTCACTGTAGTAATAGTTTTAGGTAACTATTACTAAATAACCCTGGGACACGGTCAGTACTGTTTCTCATGTGTGTGTGAACTGTTTTTTTTTTCAGATTACACTACAGTTTTCTGGCAGTCTTCAATGTTTGTTCAGGTCCAAACATCTTTTGGCATGAAATTGAAAGTGCAGGTTTTTCCAGAAATCCAACTCTATTTGTATTTACCACCAACTGAAAAGACTACAGGTATTTATACTCTCATGAATTTTTCACATTGTTTCGGCAAAAGCTTTTATTTTCTTTTTCTTCATGTGTTTCTGTGCATGTGTACATTTATTCCACATCAATATAGGTCTTTGTGGGACCTATAACAACGATACAGAAGATGACTTCACCACTAGCAGTGGAATAGTAGAAAATGCAGTTCTGCCTTTTTCCCAGTCCTGGACAATGGGAGACTGTAGCCCACCTGATTCTTCCATATGCATCAATACTGAGAATGGTAAATTTCCTAGTATTTTTATCATAAAGGACATTATAGTCATGTTTTGTTCGTATAGTGAAAAGTTGACAACCAAAAAGTTCCACCTTTTAGAATAATGTTGAAGACACCAACAGTTAAATTACAGTAAGAAAGACTGGCCTTTTACCAAGTAGAGTTATTTTAACCCAAGCTACTTATTGCCTCAAACACATTAAATGAGGACAGATGATCAGTAATTAACGTTTAACACAGTAACACAGAGTAATTAGAACGTTATATTGACTGTCTCCACATTTTCATTTAGGTCTGTTGTTCGTGACATGGCTTTACATGTATAGCATTCTGTGTATGTTTGGTGTTTGTTGTTTATCACTGTGATTCTGTTTCTGTTCTTTAAAAAATCCTATGTATTCACCAGCTGCACTGTTTCAGCATAAACTTCTCCACCACTGATTGAATGTTTTTCATAGTCTTTGGTGGAAAAGTTTATGCTCAAACAGTGCAGCTGGTGAATACACAGATTTTGACTTGTGCTGTATGTTTGTTCACACTAGTTTTGATTTCCTTTTATATCAGTTTAATTCCCTTATAATGTGTTTTTCATATAAAAGAACAATTGCTCTGCCCTTTGCTGATTGCTGGTGGTATTTTGTATTTGTCATTATTTCTCTGTAGAGATATTTGCTGAAGAGAAGTGCAGCCAGCTGAGAAACACAAGCAGTGTGTTTGCCCGCTGCCATGATTATGTACCTGTTGGCATGTTTTTTGACGTAAGAGCGAATTCAGATTTTATTTATGCTTGAAGTTTTGATGAAAAAATACAACAGTTCTGAAAGTATATCTTGACAGAAAGTTAATATCAGTGTTGGAATCTCCTCAGGCCTGCGTTCAGAGAACCTGCCAATGCACCTCTGGATTAAAGGACTGTCTGTGTGTTGCCCTCAGTAACTACGCTAAAGCCTGTGCCAGTCAGGGAATTGACATCGGTGACTGGAGAGCAGAAACAGACTGCAGTGAGTACATCTCTATTAGTACATCGACATAAAGTATTTTAAAACAGATAGGATCTCACCAAAATGTTAAGGGACGTAGCTTAACCCTCTGAGTTAGTCCTATGTTAATTCATCTTACAGGGCATCATAAAGGATAGAAAGCGTGTAGAAGATTTTGAACATGAATAGAAAGTGTTTATTATAAATTCTTATTAGTTACATAATTGCTCACTTTTACATTCAGTTTACTTTCTATATTGACAGATTCAAGTTTGTACATTTGACCTTTTTCTGTTGGTATCATTGTCAAAAAATGACATGGCAAAAATGTAAAATGTAATGTAAAAGCTTTTAAATCATGTTATAATATCTTTGTTTACTGAAAAACAAAAGTATGCTATCAGTTGAAAGTTTAGAATCCTGTCAGAGCTATGAATGAGAAATAATTCATGTAAAATTACGTTTTGTTGTCAATCACTGTGATTTACAGTCATATGCAAAGATTTGGGTGCCCCTCGTCAAATAACGTTTTACATGATATTCTTTTTAATATATATATATAAGTCAAAATAAGTTAACACATCCACTATGGAGGAAACTCTTCTGCATATTTTAATGCACAGTTACTATTCATTTTCTCAATTTAAAATACTGGAGAGAAAAAAAAACATAAAATGTAGCCTGCACAAAAGTTATGGCACATTTCTTTCTGTTCAATGCATTAAACTTTGTCAAGTGTGTTCTCTGTAGAGGAACTTATTTTCACTTAGAAAATTAACAAAACATAATTTAACTGATGTTCGTACTTTTTTTTTTACATGACTGTATGTCAACATGACCTCAGTTTGCAGTAAGCATGTTGTCCTTCTGTATTTCAGGTATCGTCTGCAATGGCAATCTGAGGTTCAGTTACAACATGCAGGCTTGTAACCAGACTTGTCGCTCTTTAACGGGCCATGATCCCACCTGTGAGGTTCAGGTTGACCCAGTGGAGGGCTGCGGCTGCATGCCAGGAACACACCTCAACACCCCGCAGGAGTGCAGCCCTAGCGCACTCTGTGCGTGCCACTACCAGGGAGGAACCACACATCCGGGTCCTGTGATTATTGATGGGCGACAATGGTAAAAACCTGGGAAGTTAACATTAACACAGACACCAATGCAGAAGTTCTGAAGAAAATGGCTAAATGAGTTTAAAAGGAGGAAATGCTTGTATTAATTATTTATTTAAATAAAAAGGAAAGATCCCTTCGAGCCTGAAGGCACATTTTCAGATGAAAAAACTACATGTAAAGTATATTAACATATACAGTAAACATACAAAGGTGGTGTTTAAATAAAATGCGTGCAAATGATATTTAATGACTGCAAATGATGCCGGATATTTGTCTTACAGCATGTGTGAAAATGGAAATCTCAGCTGTTCTGCTGTTTGCGGTAAAGTTTTTCTTTGTTTTTGTTTCTTTTTTTTTCATAACCTTCCCACAAATGTTATATTTGAGAAAGGTTGGTAGGAAAGTACTTATACAGTGCAAACATAAGGGTGTGACTTGTAGATGTTGTAGACCTGTTAGTCCTTTTCAGTCTTGATATGTAGGCATATATGTCTCACCCTCCTTACACCTATTCTATCTGATATCTAAATGCACCAGACTAGCAAGGAATTATGGTGAATACTAAGGAATATGAATAGAAAATATTATTAGGTCTGCTGGTCACCCATCAGTAGACTATATGAGTGCAACATAGATTAATATGTGTTATTCCTAATATGAAATCTTTTTGTGTTTTTTTGTTTGGTTTTGTTGACTTACATTCAACAAACAATTGGACCATTGATGCCAGAGATTGCTGTATTCAGATACTTTTATTGGCATATATCCCATTCATGGTTATGCACATAATGTCTTTTGACTTATGTGTATGAATAATAATGTAGTATGTATTCATAAACATAAACAGTGTATATATGTTTGGGCTCCCCTGGGCAAAATTATATGTTTTATAATTTTTTAAGTGAAGAAAGTATTTTTTAAAAAGTAATTATTCAACAGAGAACACACTTCTCATTCTAATGCACAGTTATTGTTTTACATTATTTTTTTTTCTTAATCTAACATAATGGCGAGAGGGGGAAACTGAACTTGTTGCCTGTGCAGACGTTATGTCACATTTTTGTATTTTATGTTTTATTTTATTCTCACATGTTAAATACTGCAGTCAAATAAAAACTGTGCACTAAAATTGGCAGACAAATGTCATATTTAAGTTTGTTCCTTGTACAGAATGTGTTAACTTATTTTCCCTTAGAAAATAAGCAAGACAGGTACTTTGACTGGGAGTGTTGAAACTTTTGGAAACAACTATGTTTAAAAAATGAAAATGATAGGGGAAACATATTCAGACATTACAAATTAATCGCATTAGCGCTTTGTTGCAAATCTGTTGTTGGCATTTACAGCTTCGAGACAGGATGCTGTTATTGGGATCACTGTGTTATTTAGACCCATGTGTTTCTTCTGTCTAGAAAATATCCTTTTTTTCTTTCTTTTTTTAACTTGCGGTGCTGTTTTTCTAAGAGATCATGTTGCTTTGTCTTATAGACTGTCCACAGGGGAAAATATGTGTGCACTGCGCACAAGCAATAGTAAACACAGCACAAAAAACATGCGAAAGCCTGAGCAAGCCATTTGTAAGTATTTTTAACTGTAACTAAAAATAGTATTTTGCCCATAATGCCAAATGAGTATCAGATACTAGCTGTGTCTGTTGATAAATGTATTGTCCTGTTTGTCCTTGCAGAGTGTTGATGAGAACTGTAGCAATGGCTGCTACTGTCCAGCAGGCATGTTTGAGGACCATAACGGCACTTGTGTGACTCAGGAGAACTGCACATGTGAATTCAGCGGTAGTGTTTATGCATCTGGGCAGAGCGTGGAGACAAATTGTAAAAAATGGTGAATGAACTTATCTTACTGTTCATAGCTAATTGGCATAAACATGGAGTAGTCATGTCTTAAAATATTTAGCAGTGTTATTCATGATGTTATTTCGGCATGGCTAGCCTTGGTGAGGAATATTAATCACTGACGAATCAGTAGATGAGAAATTAAACTGAACAATGGTTTATTTCACAGTGTCTGCAGAGGAGGACAGTGGTACTGTGAAGGGGAGCCATGCCCAGGGGTGTGTGAGGTGTTTGGCAATGGACAGTATAATACCTTTGACTCAATGTGGTACCGCTTTGATGGGAATTGTCAGTATACGCTGGTTGAGGTGAGTTCTTGTTAAACTACTAGATGCAGGAAGAACAAATGTGAACGGTGAGCTTCATTAGTTAACATGGAATCTTTTGCAAAAAAAGGAAATGTTTTGAAGTGTAACAAACTCTTTACTCACAACGTAATGATGTTCAGTAGAAACTGAATTACGATGCACGTAAACTAAATTTCTCTCAAATATGATTTTTATTTACGTGTACAAATAATGCAAGTACTGTTTTCTGCGTGTGTCTTAGGATGCCACTGGGGATGGCCACGGGCTGTTTGCAGTCAGGGTGGAGAGTGTGCCTTGCTGTGACGAAGTCTTGACCTGTTCTCGTGCAATTTCAGTGGATCTCCAGGTATCTAAATCTCTCTTGATATGTCTGAGCATTGATGCTGTCAGAAAAACTTCTATCTCGAAATAGTTCATTTAACAGGAGATCTTAATTAAGTTTACTGTACATTAATGGAAAGAAATTTTACTCCTAGTGATTTCGGGCCATTTCACAATCTAAGCTCATATTTTAATATGAGATGATTTACTAATCAGGTGTTTCTTCCTGTAAAATTAATTTACATTGTTTTCTAATGGGCTCATTTATCTGTGCATACCCACTAATTATGTGAAAGTTACAGAGAGGCAAGTTTGACTCTTTTAAAGGGCGATTGTACAGATTTTTCAAGATTTCTGCATAATTAAATGTTATAATATAAACAAAGTCATTCAGAGTGGTCTCAAGTGAAATGTTCTATTATATAAAAATTGATAGCTCACAGTGGTGGTGATAGGAACCAGAAATCCAGAGCTTCAGGGCCTCTAAAAGCTACAGAAAGTTATTATACATGACGTAATAACGAACATGCTGCCTGATGCATCCATCACAACCACTGTAATAAAAAATGATGATTTTCTACAGTTCACATTGGACCACTCTGACTGACTTCGTTTACATGTCAATGATTTGATTATGTAGACAATTAGAAAAATCAGTGGAATTCCCCTTTAATACCTACATTTTCTTTTGTAGTGTGTGGTGCACTGTTAGAAATTAAGGTACTGCGCAGGTACATTGTTCATTCATCAAGGTACAAACAATAAAAATGTGGTTTTAGGGTCCGATTGTGCACCTTAAATACTTTTGAAAAGTACATATTTGTACCTTTTCATAACCTAATGTTTTAAAACAGAACAATGAATTAAAAAGCCTGGAGACGAGATGGGCTGTGTGGAGTCAATACAATTTAGAAAAATAATTTCAATGGATTATGGTACAAGCATGTTCCCTGACTAAAGGTACTAAGATGTAACCTTGAGGGTTCCATCCCAGTGACACTTTCGCACCTTTTTTCTGAAAGCGTATACTGTCCTAAATGATCTGCATGTTATAATTATGCTTGAATGTGAGTGAGTGAATTTTGATTGAATAGGATGTGGTGACTCTGATCCTGCGTGATATGAACGTCACACAAACACTGAAGGCTGGGTGGCAACTCCAGGCGCAGCCACTATACTCTGTACATACTGTGGGCCTCCACATCATCATCTCAGTGCCAGATCTGGGGCTCACTGTGATCTGGGACAAACACACCAGAGTCAAAATCAAGTTGCAGGCCAGATGGAAGGTAAGCAGCCCTGCTGTTGTTTGTGAAAAGACCTGATGTACAGCAGCTGACAGTGGTATTGAAGTTTGCATGGACTTTTCATTTAAGCCAGATGAACCATGAACAGGTTCCATATACCATAAATATTCCATAAAAAATCAGTCAGACAATATGACATGCTGGGTTGAATGTAATTGTAAAGGCAAGTCGATTTAAAGACTTAAAATATTGTATATTTTTAACTGCCCCCCAACATGTGGTTTTAGTTTTGAACAAAGTGGTCAGAATATGTGGAACTTCTTAAAGCATGTTGAGCAAGCTTGTAAAGTAAATATGTATGAAGCTGCTTGAGAGAATGCTTACAGTGTGAGAAGCTGCGTAAGGGCAAAGATGGCATTTTTTTTACGATACTATTATTATAAAATGTGGAGAATATTACAACTAATGAGAAGCCCTTCATGAGAATGTGTTTCCAAATGTTTTACTGGTATGTAATGGTTACATTTATATGCATAACTTTGGACAAAATTGGGCCAAATTAAATTTTTTTAAAATGATAATACATAAACACAACCTCTGCAGCAAACTGTTTTAATTTTGTTCTGCAAATGTTAATGTAGTTACTTTATATTTGGAAAAAAATGAAACCAATAATGTTCAGGTCAGGGGCTTATGAGAGCCAGTCCAAAAACTTCAGCTTGTTTATCTTGAAGTAGTTCATGGTGGATTTTGAGGTATGTTCTGGAACATTATCATGTTGTAAACACCAGTCTCTTGACTGACTATGTCACATTTGCTTCCAGAATCGGCTAGTATTTAGTGGAAATCCTTTTGTCCATGTACTTGTGCAGTGTTTCCTGTGCAACTGGCTGCCACACAATCCCAAAGCATAGTAGAGCCACCCCCAAGCTTAACAGTTGGCAAGATGTTCTTTTCATCAAATGCTGTGCCTTAACATTTGCAGAAATATGATATTTTTAAAAGTTTCGTTGCTGAAGAGGTTGTGTTTACTTTTTTACCTTCAACAATCAACAAAATGTGTAATTTGGGCTGAGGTGCCCAAACTTTGGCATACCGGTTTACCTTGGGTATGTGTAATACTTTATTCCTTCTTAAACACATTCAACTGTTTTAAATGTTCTAATTTTAATTCAGTCCTAAAGGATTTCTCTTCATGTCTGTGTTGAATTTCCTTGACCTTTTTCTGTGTTTATCTTGCATGTGGACTGACAGGGTAAAGTGCGGGGTCTGTGTGGCAACTTTGATGGAAAAGTGATGAACGACTTGCTGACCAGTAGCTCCTCCGTGGTGTCCAGCACATTGGAGTTTGGGAACAGCTGGAAGACAGCTGTCCCACCCTGTTCAGATGTGACCCAGGAAGTATTTCCCTGTGAACGTCATTCGTACTGTGAAGCCTGGGCTCAGCGTCGCTGCATGATCCTGCAAAGTGACACATTCAGAGACTGCCACCTAAAGGTCCTTATCCAACATGTTGTGTAAAAGACTTTGGGGAAGAGATGGAGGAAATGATCTTTGTTCATTTGAATGGATATAGAACTCTATGTCTTTATTTTTAATATGAAATAAGACATTGATGTGATTCATATGTATTAATTTCATAAGAAATATGTAATCAAAAATAACTATACTGCTATAAAATATTCACTACAGTTTTATGTTTATTTTGTCTGAGTCAAATAGTTTGGCACCTTGTAAGCATATAGCTTAGATTGTTTTTAAAATGATCAGTTCAACTGGGTGATTGTGTTGAGATGATGAAGAGAGGGGAACATCAGTACTTCATTAGATGATTAGATGTTTTTTTTTGCTGTAATTCGCAGGTTGATCCGACACCTTACTACCAGGCCTGTATTCTAGAGTCATGCTCATGTGAGTTTGAGGGTAGGTTCTTGGGATTCTGCACAGCTGTAGCAGCATACGCTGAAGCCTGCACAACACAGAATGTCTGTATCAACTGGAGAACCCCAGACTTGTGCCGTATGTACCTTTAGACCTCAACATCACTTAGTATTTTCATTTTATCTTTTTTAATGGCACGTGCTGTATGCAGGAAATGGAAGTGTCTTGTAATATATTTTATGAAAACTGCACTAACATATTGATTGTTTTATATTTGTGGCAAGCTTTACTCTCCTTCACACCCAGCTCAAACTATAACACACCATGCTCTAAACTGAGATGCATTTCATGAGTTTAATTTAGTTAACTTGAATTTAACAGTGACTTTTACGGTGACGAACACTTTTGAGTAGAGTAATATTGTCTACTTAATAGAAACCGGTAAGCTGACAGTCACCATCTGTTCACTTCTATTATAGCAATGTAGGCTAAACTAGTCAATATGTACGATAACAAGATTTTAATGTAAATAAGAAAAACATGTAAAACGCAAACTTAACCTTAGTATGATGATGACATGTTATAGCACAGAACTAACGAAAATAAAAAAAAATAAGAGTTGATTAAAATAAACTGGGAAGCCCAATCTCCAGTGTTAAAGTATATTATTTTGGGCAAGGTCCAAAATACAGGGCCCCCCCCCCAGTAAATTTCTTGGACCCCCCGATTTGTCTCAAAATCAAAATGGGTATCCCTGAAAATAAACTTGATGTTATGCTCTCCCTTAGGGGAAAAATAGACACTCAAATACAAATTCCCCGTAAATAGGGAACTCAAATGTTAATATTAATAACTGATAAACTGATGCAGCACTGATCTGCCTCAGGTTGACGCTGTAGCATATTGGTTTACTCAGTTGGTCCTTCAAAGCCTAGCAACTGTAACTATGGTTGGGATACCTCTAAAAAACTTGTAAATCTGAAAACTTGCCGAATTTCTGTGGACAGAGTGAATTTTTACTAATTTTTCATAATCGAAGAGTAAAGTTAGTGTCAATAAACAGCACAAAAGGTGCTTCGGTCTTGCTCTAATAATGAACAGGCTTGTTCTGCTTAGTTTGTTTGTTGTTCGTGATGCATGTATTTCATTGATTAGAATGTGCACATGCAGGTCGTTTCAGAAGACAGGTTTAGTTTGAGTTTAAGAAATGTGGCAGACACAGCCGACAATGTCTGTCATACAGGCTCATTATTCCAAATCAGTGCCTTTAATGTCACTGCAACAAACTTTGATGTTGTTTAAAAAATCTAATTTCAAATTGCTTGTTGTAAATTATTTGGGCTTTAACCGCATATTTTTCTTGATAATTATTGATAAGACCCTTGAAATCAATTCGAGGTCTGAAACTCCAGTTCTGGTTTTGCTCTTTTACACACACACAGCAGCGAGTTGCCCCGTGCCATGCTGCTACACAGAGACACCATCAGAAAATTATTTTTCATTCTTAGGTATAGTTTGATGTTTTAAGACACTTTAGACACTTTATCCAGAGCCCTGAACCATATGGCCTTATGACATTCAATGAGTCATGCCAGACTAAGTTTTAATTATTACTAATTTACTAAATTACTAAACTTAGTGGGGATTTCCCAAAAGTACTACAAAGTAATAATAAACTCCCTTCCTGGTATGTGTGGAAATCTACTCCCTCACTGTGTCTGCTTAGTGGAGCGATTAACATTAATTGTGTACGTTCTTTCCTCCACAGCGGTGTATTGTGACTACTACAATGAAGAGAGCAAGTACGGTTGGCATTATGAGCCGTGTGGTCAGATCGAGACTTGTGGGAAAAAACAACGCTTTACTGGAAGGCTTGAAGGTTTTCATTCTTCCCTTTGTGTCTTTGGAATTCATTCTATTTTCACACCTGCCTGTAGTTTTGCTATTTTGAGGGTCTCATAAACTGATTGTGATTTATGTTGTATAAATGAATGATATTTAAATGCATATGTTTATTAGTGTTTTGCATTTTTTGTGATACAGAATAGATTTAAATAAATTTATGCTCTTTTTGGCTAAGGTTGTTACCCAAGGTGCCCTGCAGAGATGCCATATTTTGATGAGAACACAAGAAAGTGCTCCACTTTGGACAACTGCACATGTTTCTTCAACAACACAGTAATTAGACCTGGTGATAAAGTGACTACCTACAGGGAATGCTGGTTAGTTAATATTTTATTTGCAATGCTGGGTAAAATGTAAGGTACTAGTTTTATTTAAATGTCTGTAATATATAATAGCTTATTGAATGGTTTGTGTTCTTGCCATAGTGAATGCATTGGTGGACAAATCATTTGCGGTGAGAATTCTTTTTTTGTCAGCTTTGATATATATATAACTAATTTTACATTTTAAAATATTCATTGTAAAAGATATATTTGTGTGTTAATTTTGAATGCAGGAGAATGTGCAATACCTACCCCTGGAAAGAAGATAATCATTTACACTGCAGGAACTACAACCACAACGACTACAGAAATACCAAGCACGACTGGAGAAACTAAACCTACAACTTCACTAATTACAACTACGTCAAGGACAACAGTGATTAAAAGAACCACAGAGACACCAGGTACGACTAAACTAACTGAACCCTCAAATAAACCAGAGACAACAGTGACCACAACACCAATGACAGAAACACCAGGTACAACTGAACGAACTGTACCTACAACTCCACAAAATACAACTATAACAGAGACACCAGAGACAACATTCACCATAACAACCTCCGAAGTACCAAGTACATCTGAAAGAACTGAATCTACAACTGTACTAGAGACAACAGTGACCACAACACCAATGACCGAAACACCAGGTGCAACTGAAGAAACTGAACCCACAACTCCACAAACTACAACTATACCAGAGACAACAGAGACAACAGTCACCACAGCAACCTCTGAAATCCCAGTTACAACTGAAGAAACTGAATCTACAACTATACCAGAGACAACAGTGACCACAACACCAATGACAGAAGCACCAGATACAACTGAAGAAGCTGAAACTACAACCCCACAAACTACAACTGTACCAGAGACAACAGAGGCAACAGTCACCACAGCAACCTCTGAAATACCAGGTACAACTGAAGGAACTGAATTTACAACTATAACAGAGACAACAGTGACCACAACACCAATCACAGAAACACCAGGTGCAACGGTCACCATAACAACTTCTGAAATACCAAGTACAACTGAAGAAACTGAAACTACAACTCCACAAACTACAACTATACCAGAGACAACGGTCACCACAACAACCTCTGAAATACCAGGTACAGTTGTAGAAACTGAATCTACAACTATGCCAGAGACAACAGTGACCACAACACAAATCACAGAAACACCAGGTGCAACGGTCACCATAACAACTTCTGAAATACCAGGTACAACTGAAGGAACCGAATCTACAACTATACCAGAGACAACAATGGCCACAACACCAATGACAGAAACACCAGGTATAACTGAAGAAACTGAACCTACAGCTCCACAAAACACAACTACACCAGAGACAACAGTCACCACAACAACCTCCGAAATACCAGGTACAACTGAAGAAACTGAATTTACAACTATACCAGAGACAACAGTCACCACAACAACCTCCGAAATACCAGGTACAACTGAAGGAACTGAATTTACAACTATACCAGAGACAACAGTCACCACAACAACCTCCGAAATACCAGGTACAACTGAAGGAACTGAAACTACAACTTCACAAACTACAACTATACCAGAGACACCAGAGACAACGGTCACCGTAATAACCTCCAAAGTACCTGGTACAACTGAAGGTACTCCAGCTACAACTATACCAAAGACAACGGTGACCACAACACCAATGACAGAAACACCAGGTACAACTAAAGGAACTGAATCTACGCCTCTAGTACTTACACGTCCACCCGTAAGCCCTAAGTCATATACATCAGGTCAGCAGTCTGAGGTGACAACTCTTCCAGTCACATCAACACAATACACAACTGTAGGTATGTAATTCGTCAGCCATCTCCACAAGTCAGCCTTTACAAGTTTTATAAGGCGTCGCAAAAAATGAAAACTGTTTAGGCAGTCTGAAAACACTTTTTGTATTCTGAACAGTCTCTCTCTAATGTGAAGGGTTTTGCAGGGACCCCTTGCGAAACCAAAGCTGGCCCAGTGGTGCTGAGTGGAAAGAGGATTGCTTCCATAAGACCTGCAGATACGGCACGATTGAGATGACACCTGTCACATGTCCAACTCTGGTCCCGCCGGTGTGCCGTGAAGACTTGATGCGGGTGGTGAAAGATGAGGAGGGCTGCTGTGAAATTTGGCAGTGCGACTGTAAGTGCGGTGACAGCGCATCTCTTCCACTGTCGTTTGAGTGACATTTGATGTGTAAAGCTTGCTGCACGCAGCCGGTGTGGTGCAGAAGCGTTGTGGTTACTGCTGACTCTGTGCAAGTTAAAGACCCCCCTTCAATTATTTAATTTCCAATGAAGGTGATCATTAAGTACTGAATAAGTAATTCATTTTTCAATGTCAGGAAAAAACTAAAAACAAATTTAACTAAAACTTACACAGAAGTCTCAACATCTAAATATGTAACAAATTATTTTTGAGTATTCAGCATGTCCATCCTATATTACAGCTTCCATTCTTTTTAAATGATTTTTTATAGAAATCTGCAGTGATATTTTCCGTATCTACAAAGTTCCGGCTTAGAAGCTGCGTTTTATGCTTTTCTCAATCCAAGTAATCCCAAAAGTATTCAGTGATATTGAGGTCTGCACTCTGGGGTGGTCAGTCTATTCTGAGAACACTAGCCTCTTCTTTGTTTGATTTTCTACTTTTTTATCCATTTTGTTTTCTCTGTAAGGGCCTCTTGATAGACATCCTTTCAGACTCATAGTGTTGAGTTGTCTTCTCACAGTGGAAGGAAGGACAGAAAGACCTATGCTTTTTTTTTGGATCTGAAGCAAGACTGGAGCTTGATTTTCTCCAATCTGTCAAAGAAGAAAGTTTGAGTACTGTTCTCTGATGGTGACATTTCTAGTGGTCCACTACGTCTTGCACAGTTGTTAGGAGTCCCATTTTCTCTGTATCTTTTAATCGCTTTTTGGAAACTTCTCTTATTTTGTCTTTGACTTTCCCCTTCTTTATACAAATGGATTATCTTATATCTAACCTCCTCAGAAGTGTCTCATGAAAAATGAGTAACTTGTGCTTAGTGGCGGTTTTGAATGTAAATTGAATAAATGAAGGGTGTTCTCTGAGATTTGCACAGCACTGTGTGCTCTCATGGGGAAAAGGTCTGGTTATGGCAGTGACGCGCCCACTGCAGTTGCCGTGCTACCATCATGGTCAAGAATTGAGACCTCTTTTTTAATGCATTTTTTTGTGCAGCCGTACTTTAGTGTCAAGTTGATGCAAAAAATAACACAGTACTAGTTACTTAGTACTAGTTAATTACTCTACGGGTAATACTGAAGTAGGTTTCACATTTCTGTCTGACCACCGGCAGAATAAAACTCTGGAATGCCCACTGACGTGAGAGCAACGTGACAATGGCATCTAAATGTGCTGCTGCTGTGATTGCACTGCCAAATTACAGTGATTGAGAAGAAAACAGCAGAACTCACATATACATTGCTTTTGAGACTAAGTCTTATGTTCTTATCTTATTTCTGTTTCAGTTTACAGTTACTTATTTGTATTTTTGTTTGAAGTTACTGGCATGATGTTAGTTAAATTACAGGTCGTAAGTCATATGTGAGCGATAGCAAGTAATGGTCTGTTTCCCCATGTGAGTATATGTTGATTTCTGCTTGCAGTGTATGTAGAGGGGTGCTTGCACATTGAGCTGACTACTGACAGAATCAGTCAGCTGTTTTTCAATCCCGGTACTCTGGACCTAATGTTATGCACATTTTAAGTCTTATTTATTATGTAGTTTTCCCTACAATAACATCCCTGATCCAGCCGTGAAGAGCAGTTACAGTACAGAGTTGAATGAGGTGTTGTAGATGAGGGAAAGCATACAAATTTGCATAGTGTGGCATCCACAAAGCTGGCATTAGGAACCACTGGAATAAAAATAATAATTATTATTATTATTATTTGAATGAAGGATGTTGCTGTTTATTTCTGTCATGTGCCTGAAGACTACGTACAATTATTCAGTCTGCTTTAATTATGCTTAAATATTTTTAGCACAGAAATACGATTTCTGATTTTGTTATAATATTAAATCTGGTGTTAAGACTTATTGTTAGATGCATCGACTACCGAAGTTCGATACTGTGACGTTTCTACTAGCAGTATCTGCCAGTAAGACTCAACCATTACACTCTGCCACTGCTGTAATAATTGTTTCCTCAATATTTCCCTCAGGTCAGTGTGAGCTCTATGGAGACCCGCACTACATTTCCTTCTCAGGAACTACATTTGACTTCCTGGAAAACTGCACTTATACATTGGTGAAGGAGAAGATTCCTCGGCACCACCTTAGCATTGCAGTGGATAATTACTACAGCACGTCTTTGCTGTTCGGCTCATCAGCCAAGGGCGTCATTCTGAAGTACCATGATGACACAGTCACACTCCAGTTAAATATTGATAATTACACAGTGGAGGTGGGTATACTTCTTAAGCTATTATTATTGTGATATCTGTTTTTTCAATCACCCTGTGGCACTCGGCTACACACAAAATGAATATTCCCTTCAGTGTAACCTGATCTCAAATGAAGAAAATGATGATGATGATAATGATGATGAAGTCAATATAAATACATGGATACAAACATATTTGTGTTTGTGATGTGAGGTGTTCAGGTTTGCTGTATGCCTCAGAGAGTAATGGTACAGTGGTAAGCACAGAAATAAAAGTATGAACTGAGCGAAATTTGAATTTATTTGTAAACCAGATGAAAGATTTGTACATTTTCTTCCTGTTGTATATACTCTGTTCTTCAGTTCCCAATAAACATTAACATGTTCAGTAAAGCAGAATGATGATTAGACTTTAAGACACACTGTCTAAGTGGTCTGAATGTTTATTTACAGAAATATCTACAGCTTTTTAAAAATAAACAAGTGAATACGTTTTTAACAAGATAAATACAGTTAGTAGACTGACAGAATCCTAGTCAACTAGCAAGCAAGCAAAGTTTATTTATATAGCGCTTTTTACAGCAGGTGTTGTCACAAAGCAGCTTTACAAAACAAAAAATCAGCATTACAGAAAGAAATCCGGGCCCAAACCCCCATGAGCATCGCCAGTGGCAAGGAAAAACTCCCTATGAGACAGGAAGAAACCTTGAGAGGAACGAAGACTCAGAAGGGGAACCCATCCTCCTCTGGTCGACACCGGATAGTAAACATTGTTAGTGCAAAAATGGGGAAAACAGGTGGAGCAAATGATTAATTTGATTAGTTTAGTTTATGCAGCAGCATCAGTGGGGTCAGGATGTGAGGGTGAGGTTTGCACGGTGTTGTACCGCATGAAGCTCAGTGGTGGTCAAGCTGGTCCCGAGGGCTGGCAGCACTGGCACCCGATCAAGGCAGAAGAGGCAGCAGCATCAGAACGCACAGGATGGGCAGCTGTTCAACTCGGCAAAGAAAAGAAAGAAAGGAAAAACACACAGAGAGTCAGTTCTGTAATGGGTGACTGATCACAGATTAAAGGGTTAGCAGAGCAGCGGAGACTCTGGCAGGTATAGAACTGACAGGGAAAACTAATTACCAAAGGCTTGACTATACAAGTAAGTTTTTAGCTTAGACTTAAACACTGAGGCTGTGTCTGAGTCCTGAACATTAACAGGAAGACTATTCCAAAGCTGGGGGGCTTTGTATGAGGAGTGCTACAGTTAGACAACTAGTCAGCCCAAGAGCACAGCCCAAGCTTAAATGAATAAAAAGTTGACTTTTTCAATTAATAATGGTTCCTAGTTTACATATTTGTTATTAGTCCTCCTTAAAGGAGTATTTTTGTTGTTAATAAGCTGATTAATCATTAAAATTTTTTTTTTTTTTTCAGAAATGTACAATAAGTGGGTTTATTAGGAATGCATGGGCACTTAAGCCAGTTTAAGCTCAGTCCAGACTTTTCATGTTTTCTGTTTTTTGAATTTTATTATTATTTTTTAATAAATTTTGCACAGAGAGATTAATCTTTCATTTTATTACAAAACTGAAAAATCCATTGTTTATTTCCCCTATGCCTTACTTCCAAACTCCCAAATATTTTTGGATCAATGTCTCAGTGGGTTTGATTTCATTCAATCTGTTTTACAAAAGCTGTGCAGCACAAACAGAGAATTTTGAATCCACTGATTATATAATTTTGTATCAAAATATAAATCATAGTTCATATGGCCGAGTGGCGTAGGCAGTAAAACACTTTTGGGTAGGCCTGTGAAAAAGTGGGTAGGCCAAGTTGGTAGATGCAACTTCCGAAATGTTTATGACGTTTATATCTTGTCACTGATGACACCATTATTAAATTTATTTTTGGCATTGAAAATGGGTAGAAAACAAAAATACTTTGTCGGGGACTAGATCTCACTTTTACAGCTTCTTCAGCTGGAGCTTCAAGTTCAAAGACTGGTGCACTGATAAGGAACAGGAAGGTTTGAGGCAATGGCAGACAGCAGCTAAGCAGTGATTAGAGGGTTAAGAAAATAGGGCAGAGCCTGGCTGAAAGCATAAAGATTTGATAGGTCATATATAGTGACACTCTTAGAAAAATCTAATTTCATTATCTTGAAAAATGCAGATTAATAAATATTATTTCTCCATTTTATTGAGTAAGTCTGTGATCAATATGCATAGCCCCTGGCCTGCTTGTGACTGTGCCCCTTATATCGCCTAACCTTAAGTGGCAGTAACATAAAAAAAACCCTCAAACATTGCTGCCAGTGTTGGTAAACCTATACGGCACACATATTTCATAGTAATAGAATCTTTTAATGCCATACTTCATTGTAAATACACTTTGCAGCTACATTAAAATTGCATTGCTGCATTATTAGACTAAATATTTTCTCCCTGTGATGCAACACAGTGGCAGTAAGTGGGAGAGGTACAAAGTAAATACCTGTGGGATATTGTTCCATGATAAGAATTTTACCATATCCTAGACACCGTGGTAAGCCCAAAAATGGTGAATCACAGACAGCTCCATAGCAAATACTCCAACAGGAGTGGCTGTGTAGAGCTACACTATGCTTACAAGATGGTATGTGCATTTTGTGTATATGTGGTTTTGAGAATTTTTTTTTAATTAACTTTTTCTGGCATATTTTTTAGGCTACTCTGAACGGCATACTGGTCCAGCCACCCTACGAAGAGAACGGCATAAGGTTTGAGGGCACAAATTTTAAGGTCTTCGTTTACATTGATGAAATCCGCTCTCACATCTCTTTCGATCCAGACAACACACTGCAGATCACTCTTGCAATGGAACACTTTCGAGATAACACTGTTGGACAGTGTGGTAGGTGCCCGGTAGTTTGGTTTACTTATTAATAGTGAAATATTATAGACCAAGAAAAACTAATTGCTATAGACAAGGAATAAATGTGACCAAAAAGAGAATTACATTGCTTTAGCTAGTTCTTAGTTGCTGATAATACCTGTATTAATGTACAGCTACAATGGTAACATTTCACTTTATTATGTGACTTCTAGTGACGTTATTATGACTGTATAATGTATTACATTGTAGAGATGTATATTCTGTTATTCAATAGTTATTATACTCTATTTATTGCACATGCATCATATTGTAAGCTATCAAAGAAATTGAACCGATCAGTTAATCAGTCATTCCGGTTTCATAGCAAAGGTCTCATTTGTTTTTCAGGTGTATGTGGAGGACCCTCATGTGTACGTAGGAGTGGTCGAGCTGAGAGTGATGACTGCTGTAACATGACTGCCTATGACTGGGTAGAGGAAGACCCTCTGAAGCCCCACTGTAATGATGCCCCCAAGGATTTACCCTGCGTCCCGGTCATCCCACCTCCGCCACCTCCGCCCTGTGTGGCCCCTCTCTGTGACCTCCTCAGACATGAGTAAACTGCGTCTTTTGTCTATCTCTTTTGAACTTCAGAGTTGTGTTTCCAGAAGCACTGTACATTACATTTGGTCGCTGACCATTTGACTGATTACTGACCATAAGGATTTTCATTGAGTGGGTTTAATGACACATTTTAATAAAACTTCAGTATTTGTTAAAGATCACACAGTTGCTTTTTATTTTCAGTCAATAGTAAAGATGTTGGACAACTATTTCATACATTTCATGCAGAATTATTGCACAAAACAAAAAGTAGATCGCCATTGTATGTGATTGTCTAATCATAAAAATAGCTTAATTTACATAGAATATTACATACAATAAATGTCTTTTTTCACTTTTTAGTTTGGTGGTATTAGATTGTGAAAGACGTAAGCCTCTAGCATATCAAGTGCACAGAGTGGAAGCTACATTCAAACACGGACAAACAAAGGAAACACTCATAAGCTCTAGAAACGAAATAATCGCATTTTGGGGAAAATTGGTATAAGTCGTGAGGTGTCACGAGATTCCAACCCTGTAATATGTCTGTTCTTTCAGAGTGTTTCGTGAGTGTACTCAGAGTCTGGATGTGGAGACTCTGGTAAAGAACTGCAGGTTTGATTACTGCATGGTCAACCGGAATATGAGCATCTGTTCCCCACTGCAACACCTGAGTGAGCAGTGCAAGAGATTGGGCTTCTGTGTGTACTGGAGAAACCTCACCGAGGGGGCCTGTGGTAAGGATTCACCGTCTTAACCACATAAGCAGGATAGGAGGGAGAATGTGTCCCAGTAGTTGTTCCACACGTCTCTGAAAAATGTGTGATTTGGAACAATTTTGTGTACATTTTTTATTTAAAGTTTTTTATAATTGTTTATAATTTAGTTATTTGAACTCTTTTGCTAATGTCTGCTTTGCTGATTAGTGATGTAATGATTAATTTGTTTTCTCGATGTACCATTAATAATTCCTCCTGATGCAACTACAGCAATCCTAAAATAGTGATTGACCGTTAATCGGGCAGATTAATGCCATTTTGGCTGATGTCTGCGCTCATGTGGCTGATAATTACAAAATGCAGGCACAACCACAGGCAGACTTGTCAGCAGTGTTGCTGTGGAACAATGTTAGAGCTCCTTCCTTTTGCCATTCTACAGGCAGACCTTAGTGGGAGCTGTGAGACAGTAAGAAACATGCCAATGCTGGGTTTAACTTCTCCTGATAGAAATGGTGACACTTAAATTCCCAGCTTTAAAAGCTCAATATATAAAAATATCAAAATATATAACTGGCCACTCTTAATTACAAATACAATATTTACTGTCAGTATAATTAAATTGATTCCAGTCTTTTAGTGAGAAAATTTGAATAACGTTAACTTGGGAGAAGTTGGGAATTGGAATGGTAGCCTTCGATAAAGTAGCTTCCAGGGCTCAAAAAATTGTTGTTCTTGTCTCAAGTCAACAATCCGCTATCACAAGTGATTGAATTGATAGTTATAAGATACTGTTGCCTTTCCTGATTTCTGCCTTTAGACCGTGGTCTGAGTGGTTCAGGAGAGGAGAGCTCTGCCCATTATTAGCTCCAGGGCCAGAGAGAGTTTATCTTTCAATCCGCTCTGGGGAAATACCCGCGATTTTGGCATGTTTCCTCTGATAAAGGATGAGTTAGACTGGAATGGCAGTGAAGTGCTGGGCATTTACTGCAGACAGTTTGATGATAAATTAAAAGAATGAGTGGCCTACAAGAAAAGAAAAAATGCGAGAGAGAGAGAGGGCATTTCATGTTGTGGCAGTGGCTACAGCACCACGTGAACTACAGGTAAACTCACTACAATTACCCCAGTGCAATGAACTCAGAACCTTATTCCTTTACGTTGCCAACAATACCCAGTATTAGTTACACTCAGTTGCATTTGCTAATGGGCTAAAGATCGAGCTTCGATGGAACAAGATGGCTTATGTTAACGGGAGTCCGAAGCTAGCATTAATTGTTTCAACTTACCAACAACATTTTGTGGAACGAACGTTATGAACTACTTGTGTGCGTAGTGTCTCGTGTCTCTCTCCCTCTAGGTGTGTGTGTGCACTTGTCTGTGCTTCATTTCACCCAAGCTAACTTGGCATAGCGTGTAATGATAGTGGTGGACAGAATCGTGGGACAGAATCTTCGCTCTATCACATTATCGTCACCTTTAGTCACTTGGTAGATGATATGACCAGCATATCTACAAAATAACCCAATGCATTTTTCTATTTCATTAACGATTAAAAATTTCATCTAAAAACATGTTTCTGGATAAGATAACCAAGTAAATTAGATTGGGAATATGCATGAAATATATTTAAATTTGAAACAAAGGAAAGTCATGAAATACATGGCTTTTCTTTCTGTTTTTTTTTTGTTTGTTTGTTTGTTTGTTTTTTCAACCCAAATACTGACCTTATATTTTTCTGTTGTAGTAATACAGATGGCTGGACAGAAATATATAAATTATTCACTTAAGCAATCAAGTGTTTCTTTTATTATTATTAAATTGTTGTATTTTATCAGATGCAAAATAAAGGCCAAACCCCACCCCCCCCCCTTTAAAAAAAACCCACGTAATATCGGCCTGCTTTCTAAATATTGGCATTGACCACTGAAAACCCACATTGCTTAACCACTAATACCAAATACCAGTACGTATGAATTGGTCAAAAATAGGTTTTTAAATGCTACGAATTGAACAAATCGTGATTTATTGCTTAAACCAATGAATCATGAATTGAATCAATTTGCTGGCTGCTCAAGAGTCCCCCATGCATGTTGATGTGGTAGGAAACTGTGTTTCTGTTTCTGTTTTAGATGTCACATGTCCTGATGGGATGATTTTTGATGAGTGTCGCAGCATTCCAGATGATGTCTGTCGAGGCGGGTAAGACATCATCAGTTAGATCGATCTGTCCATCTGTCTGTATCTCTCTATCTGTCTGTCTGACTGTCTAGCTGTCTTTCTGCCTGTCTGTCTTAGTATCTGTGTGTCTGTCTATCTGTGTATCTGTGCATATGTCTATGTATTTTTCTATGTATCTGCATCTAACTGTCTTTTTTTGTGCCTTTGTTTATCTACCTATTTTTTTTATATTTTACAGCTTTACAACCCACTTGCCTATTTTGTTTAAATCTGACAAGATAAAAAAGTACCTTTGCTAGCATGTCTCCATGTGTCATTTCTGTTTTTCGCATAGGCTGCGCGTTCAAGGGAAATTCGGTACAGATAGTATGAGATCTGGCTGCTTTTGTCCAGACAACAAATGGCTTGCAGACGAGCACAAGACCTTCTGTGTATCTGAATGCACCAGTGAGTGGCAGACTTTTCCCATGTTCCATATGCAGTCAACAAGCAGGACATTTACTCATTTACTCAGAAGTTCACACAATGCAGTTATTTGACAGTAATACATTTTTGTTATGTTGACTACATATTTAAAGACATTTAAAAGCTGGCATTCTGCATTTAACCATATAATCAGTTTCTTTTCAGATTCAGCATAACAAGGTGTGGACTGTCAGATTAACTCTTTAGTGATAGAAGTTTTCATACAATCAACTAAGACCACCTATTTTAAGGCCCAATCCCATTTCTTCTTTTTACCCCTACTCCTTGTTTTCGAGCGTAAACCTAACCCCTTGGAACTGAGTTACAAGGGGTAGTGGTTGAAATCACGAAATGGGACAACCCTCAAATAAAAAAAAAAAACAAACATTGCTTCATTAACAGGCTACTAGCGGTGCTCTGTTGGCGATCCGGCCTGTCTTCAGTGACAGCAGAAGAGGGAAAAGTTCAGCAACCTCTCTGCCAGGCTTTATTTATATTTAGGGCATCATGTGCTTTCAAAGAGGGGGGATAAGACAATTATTTATTATCACTCACTGCTAATTCTTTGGTGATACAAGCTGAAGTCTGATATTCGCCAGCTTCTTGTTCGAATTTTCCCGTTCCACCTTAAATGGTGCAGCAGTTACATTCTGGCGCTTCAGGCGTGAATACTGCTGGACTATTTATGGTGGAACGGGAAAGTTAGCTAGGTAGCTACCGAGACATTAGCATGCTATTAGTGTTTTTTTATGCTTGTTATGAAGAAAACAATCATAATACATTGAAACGACATTAAACTAAGATAATACAATAGTTATTGTAATTTTTAACAGAGAAAATACTCACATTTGTGGGTTTCTTTGGTCACTCGCGCAGCCATCTTGCTGGTTTTTCTTTTTTTCTCATAACACTCCGTTTGGAGTGTGCCTCTGAAAAACTTCCGTTTGGAGGGCCTTGTAGCCCTAACGCTTTGCCGTACCCCTCCATCTCAACAAGAATTGGGATACCCTAACCCTAGACGTGAAAGCGCAAAACAGAGGGCTAAGGGCTAAGTGGTGGGGCAAGGGGTGAAATGGGATTGGGCCTAAGTGTCAGTGGGGGTTAGTGGGGGTTGGAGGGGAGGGGGTTAGCTCTTTTTATAAAACGCTTTGATCTTCTCTGGCATATCTAAGTATCTAAACAGACATTTCTTGTGTATAATTAAAGAAACGTATGCTTTGTTTCTCTGTCAGACTGCAAAGGCCCACTGGGAGAGCCCATGCCGGTGAGATATTACTCTTTCATGTAATATTAAATTTAGAAATTACCCAGCTACCAACTAATTATAGAATAAGTCCAATAGTATTTCTGCATTGTTAAATATATGGAAATGTATTCAGCCAACAGGAGCCAAAATATTCACACAGTTTACTGACTTTTTACAAATACTTCAACATTTGTCTGAAGCATGTAAAGCCCCCCCCAGTCAATCATATGTACACGCAATCAGAATGTGTAGTTGAAGCTAGCTACTTGGCACATGGGCTGACACGTGCCAGTAGATGGAACTTAACAACACCAGTGTGGGTTGACAAGCAGCAGTAAAAATGCTCATGGCAAAATCTGTAACACCAGTATTTCCTGGAAGGGCCCAGTGGTGAGTGATAGGTCCTGGGAGATGATATTTAGAATTCTTTCTAAGCTATTGGTTGCACCAATATGTCACAAATACACCATATAACTCAACATATGGAAGGCACTGCCAGTCTCTTGGGGTATTGATGGCCTTAAGTCATGGTTTAGCCTTTTGTATTTTGAGTGACAAATATTTACTAAACTCTAGCAGAGATTGATGCTCGGAGATGTAAGCGAGAGTGAACAAGATGTGCATGTGAGACAAAGGACCTGAAATTTCAATGTGAAACAAGCGTGATGTGAAGCACCGTTTTCGCTAGAAAAGCTGCTGCATGTGTGTGTGTGTGTGTGTGTATATATACATATATTAAACAATAACTTGCCTGATTATGAACATAGATTTTGACTCTTTACTATGTCTGTGGTTGTACTCCAAGTTCATTTTCATGTTATCTATTTCATGTTATCTGTTTTCATGTTCTCTATTTAGGCTGGAGCAGTATGGGAGTCAAATTGCCACATATGCACATGCAACAACCAGACTCTGACGGAGGAGTGCATACCAATGCCACCTGCTCCAGACCCAACTTGTAGTGCAGACTCCATGCTTGTCTCAGGCTGCTGTGGCAACCAGATATGTGGTAATGTAGAGTTCCATTCAGCATTTTAAGTTATACTGAAAATTGCATATTTTCAAGTGATGGTCTTTCTCTGCTTTGCATTGTCCGTGTGCTCTCATATCCACAATGCCACATTTGTTTTGTTCTATTTGCTTCCACTACATTTAGTGTAAAAATGCCACCACAGGTTTTAACAAGACTGGTAATGCTGTTTTCTAGATAAGAAAAGATTTTCAGCATTATTTTTAGTACCAAACACATACTAAACTAGGGCTGCATGATAATTCATATTTTTATTGTTATCGCGATATGAGTTTCTGTGATAAACAACATTGTTAAGGGCTGCAATGACAGAAGAGATCAAATTACCTCACATGCAGCGCCGAAGTGATGTGAGTAGAAAGGAGAATGTAGCGTTAGAAGCCCAACAAGTGCTTCTCTGCACTAGGCTTAAATGCTGCTCTTTAAGGTGGAGAGCAAGTAACTTAACCAATCGATTAAATGGCCAGTTACAAAATTCACACGTCACAAACGGCTCTATTCTGAACTGCTAGCCTATAAAATGTTTAATGCTTAAAATGTGATAACTACTCTAAGTCTCAGTGTTGTGTGTAAAATGGATAGATTGTATATTAAAATGTATGAAGCAGTAATGGCTGCAACAAACCTGCTTCATAATAAGGAGCTTTTTAATGAATTCATATTTTTATATTTATTCATTTTGTAGCCCTATGTTGAAAATAAAAGTATGCATATTCATTACAAAAAGCTCTTCGGAAAATCCTGACTGTTTTTAGACCCGAAGCACCTCATAGAACTCAATTATAATTCACAGGCGGCTAATTTCCACAAGGGGGCACCATTAGCAGTCAGATAGCTTTTGATGCTTCATAAGAGCTGTGCTTTGCATCAGTGACATTGCAGATCCTTGTTCAGTCTTTCAGTGCACAAAATTCTTGCAATTCTGTTATAAGTAGCTATAAGTATATGTCATTATTTTTATTTTGTACAGTAGTTTTTATTTTTTTGTTTAACCTACATTTAACCAGGTGAGTCATTAATAACAACTTCTTATCTACAATGGCGCCTGTGAATAATGAATGGTGCTTTTATAATTTTCATGTTTTGCTAGTTGCTTATAGGTTGAGTTAGATTTATGTTTACACAACATAAAATTAAATTATTGTGGAACATCCAGTCAGAGGCACCCTATTTTAATGAAAGTTTATCTCTTCAAATATCCGCATTGTGAAATCCTACAGCTTCATCCAGCATCAAATTTTATGTCCATATCATGCAGCCCTATACTAAACACAGAGGGGTGGAGGGGAACTTGATCTGGAACCAATGAAAAAAACATTCTTAAAAATAGATCACACAGTGCTAAGAAAGAAAAACTGTATCAAAACTTTTGTGGATGGATTTACACCTTTATTAATTGCTAACACAGATTTAGGAACATTTAAACTTCCTAAATCTGTGTTAGCTTTACGTTCATTACAGTATAGGCACACTAATTATTATAGCTTGGGCTTGATGTGATGTTTCTAACCATTCCTCATAATCAGTGTCAGTTTAAACTATATTTTAAGATTGTTCATCTCTCCTTCTTGTAGTTGAGAAGACTTGTGAGTACAATGGACAGAAATACAAGGTAAAGGAAATACTTTACATAGTTGTAGATAACAATAAGGATTCTGTGACTAGTTGTATCTGCTGCTACAGTTTACGTCCCCTTTCACTTTCATGAGGCCAGTATACATTAACATAACATTGCATTAAATCAACTGTGAACAATGAATACAGTGAATCCATTGTAACTTCTGATGAAGTAACTGCTGATGGGTCTTGAGTATTTATGTAATTAATAGTTAAAGGTAATGGTTTGCAAAATGATAACACGGACTGCACACACATTTTGTGCTGCATCACTACACATTTTGCACCATGTTTTGCACCTGCATCCGGTCCTGGGAGTATAAATAGTGTTAGTCTGATGGTAAACATTAATTCAACACATGTTCAAGGCTTGTCCCTCTGTCTAGCCACAGAGTCGGCTGCCTTTGTTTTTTTGAGGAAGTCTCTAAACAACAGACCTTTTGAGAGCCAACAAATTTATGCCTGGAGTTTATAAAATAAATAATTAGTTGACAATGGAATTAACACATTTTTCTTCTTACCCCAAATGATGTCAATCAGCCAGGACTTCTTTAGTGTCTAAAGTTTACCTCTTTAATTTTGCACCGGAGATATGAGGCTAATGTACACTGTATGGACAAAAGTATTGGGACACCTACACATTACACTTACAGTAGTTGTAATGACATCCCATTCTAAATCCATAAACATTAATATGGAGTTCATCCCTCCTTTGCAACCATAACAGCTTCCACTCTTCTGGGATGGTTTCTACAAGTTTTTGGAGTGTGTCTTGGGAATTTTTGCCCATTCATCCAGAAGAGCATTTGTGAGGTCAGACACTGATGTTGGACGAGAGGGTCTGGCTCGCAATCTCTGTTCTGTGCAGGCCTGTCAAGTTCTTTCACACCAAACTCACCCAACCATGCTTTATGGACCTTGCTTTGTGCACTGGGGCTCAGTCATGCTGGAACAAAAAAAGGGTTTTCCTCAAACTGTTCCCACAAACTTGGAAGCATACAGTTGTCCAAAATGTCTTGATCTGCTGAAGGATTAAGTTTTCCTTTCTCTGGAACTAAGGGGTCTAGACCAACCCCTGAAAACAACCCCATAGCATTATCCCTCCTCCACCAAACTTTACACTTGACACAATGCCGCCAGGCAGGTAACGTTCTGCTGGCACTTACCAAACCCTGACTCACCCATCAGACTGCCAGATAGAGAAGTGTAATTCATCACACCACAGAATGCATTTCGACTGCTCCTGAGTCCAGTGGTGATGTACTCTACACCACTCCATCTGATGCTTGGGCGTTGTGCTTGGCACCCATGCCATGAAGCTTCCGGTGCACAGTTTTTGTCCTGATGTTAAAACCAAAGGAGGTTTGGAACTCAGTTATTGAGTCAGCAAAGCGTTGGAGACTTTTATGCACTATGCGCCTCAGCCCTTAGCGACACGCTCTGTAAATTTACATGGTTTGCCACTTCATGACTGAGTTGCTGTGGCTCTTAAATGTTTCCACTTTTCAATAATACCTCTCACACCTGATTGTGGAATATCCAGAAGGGAAGAAATTTTGTGAACTGACTTGTTGCAACGATGACATCCTATTGCAGTCCCACACTTGAATTCACTGAGCTCTTTAAAACAACTCATTCTTTCACAAATGTTTGTGAAGGCAGACTACATGGCTAGGTGCTTGATTTTATACATGTGTGGTAATGGGACTGAATGAAACACTTGAATTCAATGATTAAGAGGTGTGTCCCAATACTTTTGTCCATATAATGTAGCTAACAAGAAATTGAAACATATACGTAAGTAGCAAGGCCTTTCAGAATTATTACATAATCACCTGATCGCAGTTGTTTGTGCAGATTGCAATTATTGAAGTTGATCACAGTTATTTTCCGCAGTTGTTAGCTTTCACAGACATATGTTTATGTTGCTACAAACAATGTGAACTGGTTGCATTTTTATCCGTTCTTTATTCCTTCTGTGACTCAGGTTGGGGATACATGGACAGACCATTCACGGCCCTGTGTGTCATTTAGCTGCACAACCGCAGGCACTGAGATAGAGAGGCGTGTGTGTCCTGAGCAGAGCTGTTCTGAGGTAAGCCTGTCCAGGCAGCTCCACAACATCCCACTAATGCACTCTCAGTGCAGTGCATGGATTTGAGATCTTGGAATCACTGATTTCTTCATTGTTTTCTTCCTGTCTAGGAACTCCGCGTGTGGGACGAGCATCATTGCTGCTACTCATGTAAGTGGCTTGTTTATATGTTCCTTAAGTATTATTTCTTGAAGCCTCCTGTAAAATGTTCTGAATGTTGCTCCCATTTCAAAGTTTAAGTGCTATATGTTTAGAATAAGGGGTGTTTGAGCCACATGTTAGAACTTGAAGCATGAAGCATGGGTGGGCTTTTCATAGTGGACATTAGCAAATTTCTCTTGGAACAGTAGTAGACAACAGTCACTGGCTAGGTTTCCATCTTGTATGTTTATGTGAATTTTGACATATCAATTAAATAATGCTTGACGGAAATGGCAAGTATCAAATGATGGAAACACATTTTCTCAATAAATAATGTAAATACAAATAAAATAATGGTCATATGACCAATCAGGTGTTTCCATTTTTGGACGGCAGCAGCTACAGAACAAGTACCAGTGGACTGATGGTGAAATGAAAACGTGTAAAACATAACACCAGTATTAGACAGTAAACAGCAGCATAATGTGCAATGAGGTGCTTGCTGCTGATTCATGGGCGTTTCTATTATTTTAGCCAGTGTGTTCTTTCTCCATCTCTTATAATATAAAGTACATTCATAAATGACAAGTTGCCCAATGAGGATTTCTCTGTAGGTTTATTCCATATTTGTCAGAAGTTCTTTTTGTAAAGTATTTTTTGTTTCTTTGGTGACATTTCAGTAAATGGTTTCTTCATAAACGGAAAGTTTCTATGGAAACCTGACTGCTGTTTGCACTGACAAATACTTACGTAGAGGCTTTTCTTTGTGATGCTCGCTATAACTTGCATACTAAAACTTGCATACCATCCTAGGCAATGTCACCTGTGCAGTCAGAATATCCAAGGTGACCATTAAGGTCGACGGCTGCACTCAGGAGGTGGAGTTACCCAACTGTGAAGGCTACTGTCCATCAAACTCTATGTAAGATTCAGCCTCTACATAAAGCATTGTTATATGTTATATTTCCTCAGACATTATAAGATTTACAGCATACAGGAGAAGTCTATATAAAGAAATGTTATAATGTTTGTTTTTACCACAAAAACTATTTGAAATATTTCTTTTGCATGGATTTGTTAGATTGTAGCTTCTTCAAAGGACTGTTTTTGTTTTTTGTTTTATTTTGGAACATTTTTATTAAGCAAAAACTACTTAAGTGAATAGTGTCAACATCTTACTCAATTAAAAGTGACAGTATGGAGCCAAAATATACATTAGTGAAAGTCAAAAAAATCTAACATGCTCAAAATTAAAAAGTAAATACTTTAACAAATGAAAGAGGCAGGGCATACTTTTATTCCCTTCCTTGTCTCAGTACTTGATTAGTACTTAAGAGCAGTTTTATTTTACTTGTGGATTGTATGTTAAAAGTTTGTTTTAATTTGAAAAATACATAAATTTATAAAATGCATAGGAACTCAGCTGATTGCCAAGAGAGAAAAAAAGAGACTTTGGCTTTTGAAAATTGGTACTTTGAAGATCTAAATAAAGATATAAGTAGTTTTCTTTATCTTGGAAATTCAGAAATATGAAAAATTGGATATGAAATGCTTAAGCTAACACACTGACAGACAGAAATCATTATTTAAATCTTAATTTGTTATTAATGTTTAGTTTGTATTATTTCTATTTTTTCAATGTTAGTTTTTCCAATCAAATAAATTCACACTGGCCAGACAAATAGCTTTTAAAGATCATTTTGCCAAGAGGCCTAAGACTTCTACACAGCACTGTACCTTTGTTTTATGGTCATTAAGCTTCAGATGTACTGTACATAATTCCGGATACCATTAAAGCCACTATAATATACACTATGATAATCACTGGTCTTAATATTAGTTTCATTAGATGAATAATGTTTGTCCGAAGTGGTATAATGTTGGTTTGTTCTGTAGGATGGTGCAGTCCGGAGAGATTCTGCAGCTGGAGCAGGAGCGTCACTGCTGCCAGGAGAAGAACTATGAGATCAGACGACTTTCTTTGAGCTGCAAAGGAGCCACACCCAGCCATTACACCTACAACCATATCACCAGCTGTGAGTGCCAGCCTGACGCCTGAAATCCCATCAGATTAACGTTATCATTACAATGAAGGAAAACAGGATCTGTGTTTTCAGAAATGTTGCATGATTTGATTTGTCTGATTTGTTTATATTATCAGTGATTTAGCTGCAATTGTGATTGATGTTTTAAACTCATCTTTTTGCCTTCTGGTGTTTTCTACTTTCCACTGCCACCATTCTGAGCCAAACTGCCACAAGGACTGCCTGTGATATGCTTGCCTTTTTTGCTGGAGCTTAAATTGTGATGTTAAGTATGTGCCATCCTATCAAAACCACAATGAAGAAAGATAAACACAGTATAATATCAGGTTTTAGAGCTCAGGTTTCAATGTTTTTAGTGCACAGTTGACCTGTTATCTTTTTTGGTGTTTTGTACTCTTTTTTTATTTGTTTCTAAAGCACTTTGGTTGTAAATCACATTACCTCTTAATGATGGATTCAAATGATGTAATCATATAATAAAAATCTTGATTCATAAGTTGTAGTTGTTTATTTTCCTGTTTAACTCCAACCCACAAATATGGCTGTCATAAAGTTTTATGACAGTTTATAATATGTTACGTATTGTCTTGGTAGAGATTGGTTCAGCTCTGTGAACAGAAGCTCCCGTACAGGCAGCACGGTGTTTATGTTTGTCACAAAAGCAAATTGGGTTATATTTGAACTAGTGTGAAAGGTCCACAGTGGCCTGACTAGGAAGGAACAGCAGTGTCCTCTGAATTAGCGATGTAGTCTATTTGCTATCACTGACAGTACTATCTCAGCTATCCACTGGACCACCTCAAAAAGTCCAGACAGTAAGCGGTTTTGCGGTAAACAGACTCTCTTGCCCTTTAGCCACTGTAACTATGTGTATTCCTCTGCTGGAGATTCCCTCTCTTTGCAATGTCACTTTTGACGAGAGTGATCGACTGACGTGATCAACAAGTTCACATGAATGCTGGGTTACTGATTAGGGGTCATGTTTTAATGTGTGGTGCAAAGTCCTGCTTAGAAAGCCAACCTCTCTCTCTCTCACTCCTTCCATTCTGGAGAACCTGAGCTGGAGAACAGGTAAACTCTCACTTTCTCTCTCACTCTACTCAGCAAGTCAATAAATCATTGCAGATATATGTGTAGTAAATAATTCAAAGCTAAACTAACCAGTATTTCACAGTATGACTAGACAAATATAACTAGATTGTGTGAAATGTTAAGTGTATTGATTGCTGGGTTTTGACTCAGATGATAGTTGGGGTGTATTAATTGGTATATATGCAAAGATATGCATTGAGATTATTTGAATTGTTTAAAAAAAAAAAAGCAAACAAATACATGAAATAGTATATTATCAAATACATATTCATCAATATATAAAATTGAAATACCTTTAATTCCTTAATCCACAGGCCTCTTTAATATACTTAGTAACTTTAATATACTGTGTATATTGTATTATTTTCTAATTTTATACAAAAAAATTAATTGCAAGCTATATTATCACTATATATTTAAGAATTTTAGTATTTAGTATGCATAAATATGCATGAAAGTTGCAAAACTTTGCTGACATGGACTCCACAAGCCTCAGATTAGCAGATCAGTCCACCTGAGAGTCGTCTGAACACGAGCTTCAATGGAAAGGAATAGGACTAAACAAAAAACCTGACCTTGTACTATAAGTGCCTTAATATGCTCCACTCCACTGCTTAAACTGGAATAGTGACCTAAATATAGAGCAAAATTGAGTATTTATTCATTTTAGTGATCATAACTTCTCTTTGTTGTAATTTTTTTCAAAATTCTACAACATTCTGTCATATATTTCTATGTTTAACCCCTTCAAATCTTAGGCTCATTACATACTAAGGCTTATTATTCAGTAAATCCAGGCACTTCAGTGCAAACTGGCAGAGCTATTCTTAGGTTATAGAAGTGTGTAAGAAAACTTTGGGCCTTCCAGTGGGCCCTGGCAATTTAAGGGTTTAAATGAAAATAATCCCAGATATTTAGGGTGGTCTCAGACTTTTGGACCCCCACTGAAAAGTGGTGAGTAACATAGAGGAAAATAGATTTGATGGCAATCTGTAATCAGTCAGCATTAGGCCTTTACTCTAGCAGCTCTGAGGACCCCCCACTTTGATCATTTTTATTAAAGGTGCTAGTTTTGTACGATAGTTTTGAATATGTAATTGACCACTTGACAACAAGAAATTATTGTAGTTACAGTATATTTTTTTAGCATTTTATAACCTATTGATGACCCCCCCCCCAATTTAAATATGTATTTACAAAATATCTTCTGATGTCCAACATATCATGTTTAAATCTACACTGCATTTGAAAATGTTTGAACACTCCTGGCCAAATGACCTGTTTTGTTGATTCTTTAAGTTCAAATAAGTAACCACATCCTCTACAGGGAAACATGCTTAAACACGCTTAAATATGACATTTTCTGCAAAATTCAGTGCACAATTTCTATTTTTTGAGTTTAACATATTGGAAAAAAATCAATTCAGCATATTTGAACTGTTTTCCTGTCATAATTGAAGTTTCACAACACCTTCACAAAAAAATCTTTCCGCCACTTCCCACAAGAATGTTCATTGTTATCATCAAACCACCGTGCGCACACTATTTACTGACGGAAACAGGGGCCTGCACATTATCCCCCTGAAATCTTTGATTACTCAGTACACCCTTCCTTTCCCTGCATTTCCTGAAAACCTCTCAGAAAAAAGCGGTCTTCAGGGGTCCTTCCTCTTGGCCCATGTCTTCTAATGCTCCTGAACAATAGAGCTTAGAAAAAATGTTGTTTTTGCACATGCTGACAGTAATGTGTTGTGGCAGATGAGGCTTGAGAAAGGTGCAGCACTGCTTCATCAACTTTACTGCTCTCTTTCACTTGCAGAGCACCATGAGTGTGGAGAAAAAAGAACCACGACAGCCATGCTGCTCCAAACTAAAGGTCAGTGTCTCTCTCTCTCTCTCTCTCTCTCTCTCTCTCTCTCTCTCTCTCTCTCTCTCTCACTCACTCTCTCAGAAATCACCCTCTACATTGCAGAGATGCAGAGATCTGATATTTGGATGGTTCACCAACCAGAAAAAAATAAACAGAATAAATCTTTCCTTCTTTTCTTCAATGTTTTTGTTTGTTTGTTTTTTGCATATTTGTTTGTTTGATTTCCAATTAGTTTCATTATGTCTGTAAAGGTGCCAAAGATGATGCAATCATGCATCAATCATGTAATCAGGCAAAGGGTTCTTTAATAAAGAAGATGGTTCTGTATAGAACCATGATCACTCAAAGAACCCTTTGCATGATGAAAGGGTTCTTCAGACTGATAGAGAATGTGCTGTGGATTGTTCTATGTAGAACCTTTTTGAAAATGGTTCTGTATAGCACACAAAAGGGTTCTTCTGTTGTTACAATGTCAAGCTTGAAGAACCATACACAACACATTCTCCCTTAATCTGAAGAACCATTTCACTATGCAAAGAACCCTTTTATCATGCAAAGGGTTCTTTGAGTGTCCTTGAGGAACCATCCTTTTTAAGGGTGATAAGTAGTGATCATTTATAGTATGTGGTGAATACAGGCAAGACAAATATTCAATCACTTAAAAAAAGTCCTAAACATGTCTGAGGCCTTACGATTTCACCTGTTCTGATTTCATATGATTTCCCTGAGCCTGTCTTTATGTGATTAGTTTGTGATTAGTCACAGGTCATGTTTTGAGTGATTGAAGCTGTTGATCATTTCCTCAGCAGTTACCATTGCACAAACCTATTGGAGGCCTCTGACCCAGACCTTAGCCTAAACCCTTCAATGTTTAACTCTCATTACTGTGAGAAACACTTCTCACAGAGAGGAGCAGGTGTCATTAAGATAATGCTGAAAGATTAGTTTCTCACAGTAATGGGGACACTGAGCCTTTCTTTGTGTATGCAGATTAAAATAGTGAATGAAACATCTTCAAATACCTTCTGATGTCTAATGTACAGTGTTTCAGTCTACACTGCGTAAGTTTTTACTGAACAAAATTGCAGCAATTACTAATATGACAAATGATAAAACAGTAAAATGCACCGTGGATTCTTTACAGCTGTGAAGTACGAGGGGTATAAAGCTACAATCAGCCCAGGAGTCAAATAGGTTTGATTGATGATACTTTGTTCATGGTTTAATATTCCCACCACATTCTAAGGAATGTTTGATTGTATCCTTGTTGTTGCACAACTTACTAATGAGATTAGAGCAGGGAGACGAGAGGAATGTGGCTTATGAGCGTGCTGCAGTGAGTTGTCAATCAGTGCTGCTTGTTTGCAACCTTAAGTGTTCAAACAATGTTATAACATTAGATAGAATTAATAGAATGCCTGTTTTACACTATGCATTATCACATCCATAGAAGGGGGTAGTGGTGGTGGTGAGGGGGTTGCAGCAACCCCAGGTTTCAGGATAGTTTAATTGCAACTGCTAAAAATTTTAAAAAAAAATTAAATAAGCAAACTTTAAAATAAATAGAGAGTAGTAAAGGCTTAAGTGTGCTTGTTTTAGGGTGGAGTTTGTCATTTTATGTGTTTTATTTATATTTTCAGAATCTGCAGTAGCTGTGCACTGTGTAACTTAATGACTCGCAAACCAAGTTGTTTCCCTTGCCAACCACCGGTCGCTTTGGGGGCATGTTGCTTAACACAAGCAATATTAGCAAGCTGAAAAATTATGTAACATTATGATGTCTTATGCATGGGTTTTTGTTATCTCCTGATAGATGCTCATTCGAGTATTGGCATGACACATTTTCATGATCAACAATCACTTATTGCTTGTTTGCATAAGGTTCTTCCAGAATGAAAGACAATAGAGTGAGCAGGATGTGCATCAGATGTTTGATGTGTCTTTTACAGTACTGTGTGAAAATCAGGGACTATTTATTTTATTTACTAAATTTCCAGTCACAATGAAGTTCATTTTTCAAGAGATATTTCAGAGGAGATTAGACACAAAATAGTCCACTTGCATAAGTAAGAGGAATGTCAAAGTAAAATAAGTGAGAAAAACAATCCAGAGTTTTCAAAACGCCATGCAACTTTGCAAGACCGGGTAGAGCAGCAATACTGCCCCTATCAGATAAACAGTACTTAAAGCTTTCATCTTTGAGAGAGAGGAGAAAATCAAGCTCCACTCTTGATTCAGATCTGAAAAAATACACAGGTGAAGACAACTCAACACAGTCTGAAAGGATGTGTAGCTGTCAAGAAGCCCTTACTGAGAAAAGGAAATAGACAAAAAAGAATAACAAAGAAGTTGCTGGTGTTCTCAGGGCAATGGACTGAATACCCCAGAGTCCAGATCTCAATATCACTGAATTAGTGAAAATGCAACCAACTTCTTAGACTGAACTTCGGAGGTGTGGAAAAAACCCTGCAGATTCTTTCGAAAAACTGAAAGCAAGTTTCCTTATAGAAGCTGTAAAAAAAGGAGAAATGTTATCATATAAAGTTGTTGAGCAAATATAAATTTTTCAGATACATTTTTTGACTTTTGCACAGTACTGTATATGTGTATTTTGTCACCTCTCATCATACTGTAATGTTTTATGACATGTTCTGTTTGATGTAAATTAGCCAAAAAATGGCATAATGGCTTAATGCATTGTTGTAAGTGTATACACATGCACACACACAAACATGCACGAAAACATGCACACACACGTAAGTGTATTGTAAATGTGCTGTATTAAGAGAGCAGTTCAGTGATTAACAGAGAGTACTGTCCTCATTTAATCTCCATACTGAAATGCTTTTTGTCTGTTTCTCAATATCTTTCCTTAGTTCCTGTCTTTCTCAGGAATCTTGTATTAAAATGTTTGTGTGTGTGTGTGTGTCTCTCTCTGTTTTGTGTGTCTCAGTTTTTTCTTGTCTCCATGTCTTTTGTCTACTTCGCCAAAGCGTTCCAGGGCAGTTACATGAAGAGTTCAGTGACGCAGATTGAGAGGCGCTTCGACATTCCCAGCTCCCTCATCGGGGTCATTGACGGGAGTTTTGAAATTGGTGCGAATAAACACACACTTTACACCACACTTAACAGCTCATCACACAGTGATTGATACCTGCTCACTGCTTTTTGTTGAAATTGTCCAGGCATGAATAAATGCAGGTTTGTTGCCATGGGCAACAGTTCTGTGTTATTTATTGCTGCAATTTACCTGATTCTAACATGCACCTCACTTTTACATGAATAAAATAGATTATATCTACCAAATTATTACCAAAGGAAAATTAAATGCAAGACAAAGTGTGTGTTGGTATAGAACAGCAGTGTCCAATCTTATCAGTGTCTGGCAAAGGGCTGGTGTGGCTGCCGGTTTTCATTCCAAACAAACATGATCATACCTGATTCCACTTGTTTAATCAATTACTCAGTCATCAAACAACTGACCATGTGAACTCCTACTTTGTTGGAATGAAACCTGCAGCCCCACTGGCCCTTTGCGGGTAATCGCTGGTGTAGAATATCACCACTGTCAGACAAAAACCTTGTATCTCCAAAATGGTAACTTCAGAAGGAAGATACATTCTTAGCTTTCAATGTAAATTAATGTACAGAGGTTTTATTTCAAGTCATTTTGGACCATTTCCATTGGTCCATTCATCATGTAGTGTTCACACAGTGTAAATGCAGGTGGCTTTTTCCAAATTATGTCAAAAAATGAAAAATGGAGCAGTTTTGACTTCCAGGTCCCTCCCCTTCCACTGCACTCCAGGCCTACATCCAAAGCTCCCTCTTGCTATTAGGGAGTTTTTCCTTGCCACTGTCAATGACAACTGCATCTGAAGTCAGTTTTGACACATTTATTCAGTGCATTAAACTCGTTATTGGAATGCAGCAGAAGGAGGTTTTATGTCAGTAATTGGGTCTTTTCTTTTGCAGGTAATCTGCTGGTGATTGCTTTTGTGAGTTATTTTGGGGCAAAGCTGCACAGACCCAGACTGATAGGAGCAGGCTGTTTGATTATGGCTGTCGGCTCGTTCCTCACAGCTCTTCCCCATTTCTTTCAGGGACCGTGAGTTACAGCAGCGCTACTACAAACATTTGTTTATGTGCTTATTTGCCCTTCTAACCCGTTAAACTATAAACCTACATGTGTCTTCTATTTTATTTTTTCCATTAGGTCCACTTACAAAATTTTTATGGTTTTATGTACCAAATAATTCCTTTTTATGTGATAGTAGTGGTAACTACTATGAATTACTCAGTAACTACAGTGAAACAAATATGTAAGTAATATGGACCCACATTTAGGCCCAGTTTAACACCAGAAAAGTCAAGATGGTCATTTTCACTGTTTTAGTTTTTTGAGATGTGATCATTTTGAAAATACCGCCCCATATCTACTGTTCCCTTACTTTTAATATATCAGTCCATAGTCCATAGTCTGACGTTGTATGAGATCAATATTACAAAGCACAGCAAAGGCCATCAATGGTTATTTTGATTCGACCACTGTTTGAGCAAGTTGGACAGTGTTTTGGTAGCAGTTATTCAGTAGCCTACTTAACTCATCCAAATATCCTTGAAAGTCCATAGTGGTCGTTTTGACTGTGTAGTTTAGAGTGTGATTCGTCTGCATGGGCTTTTTGCTTCTATTTACACATTGGATTTTTTTTTAGTAGCCTGCCCGCCTCATATCATTTACCTCACAGTATATCTGGAAAGTACTGACAAATAGTTCACACAGTATTATCCACAACAGAATAAAATAGTAGCAATAGAATGAGACATGTTTTTCAACCATTCTGTGTTTTGTAAATATGCTTAAAAAAAAATCAAAAGGTCAAAATGACGTCCACAGCCATTCTAGCAGTAGAATTTCGGCCTTGGAAGTGTTAAAGAGATGCCCACATTTATGTCCGCTCTTTTCCTTTGTACTATTGTACAAATACTCCATATGTAACCTATCTTTGAACAGGTACAAATATGAGACGACAATTTCCCATTTCTCTGAGGCCAATGCTACTGAGACCATCCTGCCATGTCTGAACAATGAGAGCCATCCACAGGGTGATGACCTGCCCTCAGAAGAGACTCAAGCAGGTGAGTGACAGCCAAACTGTCCAATAATAATTGAGTGTGTCTCTACAACATTCTGAGTCTATTTCATTAAGCGCTTGTTAAACAAGCCCCAGAAAAATTCACTACAATTACAGGATTCACAACAATCACAGCCTTGTTACCATAACTGATGTTTACTAAAGCCAAAGGTTAAATACAGATGTTAATAAGAAATGTGGCTGTTATTAAAAGGAATTTTAAGTTTTTAACCTAATCTGTATTTGCTGCAACTGTATCATACTATGGATTACCACATACAATAATTTTGATTCAATTCTCTGTACTTAGAAAAAAAAACCTGGAAACTCGTTGACTCAAAAATCACTTATAATAGAAGCCAATGAGCAGTTGCTGAATTCTGTGAATAAATTCTTGAAATGGCAACACACATACCACAAATTTAAAATACAGTACAGATCTTGGCATATTCTCATGAAGTTTTGTTTAGCTTTTGAACATGGGAACAAGACAGCTTAAATGCAGTTTCAATATCCACACCTCTAAGCCAGTGCTCATTGACATCTATGATAAGCACGTGTTGTTTATTTAGTGGCGATGGTGTTTAGATATTGTGAAGAAAAACACCGCCGATACTGAGTTGCTAGCAAAATATTTATTACATAGTAAAACAGCATCATATCAAGCACTATAGAGTACCTGAGAGAGGATCCGTGCCAATTCTAAATGTCCTCCCCCGAACAGACTGACCAACAGCATATATATATGGTTCTTGTTGTTGAAACAGGAGACAGAGCATATGGTTCTTTTTAAAATGATCTCATCTATTTGGACCTAAGAAGAAGGGAGAAAGTGAGAGGCCCCATTCCTATGGACCTTTAAATTGAGAGGCTTTAAACCCAGAGGCCCCCCTGGTTCACATTCCTATCCCCTGCACAAACAGAGCACACAGGGCACTCCTAGATACTTGGAACTTCAGACATCAGCTTATACTCAATGTTAAGAGTGTTGTTGCCTTCTTTTATAAAACTACTTTTCTAAATACACCTCACACGTTTTGAGTCAACAAGTTTTCTGTACTTTTCCAAATATAGAGAAATGTGTGAAAATGAATGCATGTTGTAATCAACTGTATGATATAGATGCAACCGATTGAGACTTGTTTACTTACAGTAATAACTACTACTTAAAATACTGAACATTTACTTTGTGGTAACTATGAGCCTAGTTTCTATGAGTGACCAAGTACTGCAATAATAAAATGTAATAATTCTTACTATAACTGTCAACAGTCCAATTCTTGTTGACCTTTTACGCTCAAAAGGACCCAAAAACGGTCACCATTTCAAGCTTGGGACGCTGCTATCCGATAGCTGGTCGTGTCTGGAGATGTCTAAGTGTGGTCTTTGCTCTTGCAGAGTGTGAGAAAGTGGCAGGATCGTCTCTTTGGGTCTATGTGTTTCTGGGGAACATGCTGAGAGGTATTGGAGAGACTCCGGTCATGCCTTTGGGACTGTCCTACTTGGATGACTTTGCCAAAGAGGAAAACACAGCTTTTTATCTGGGTATGAAAGAACTGGAACTCTGAACGTGCATTAAATTGACTTGATTCAAATGTGCATGTCATTTCCATATGAATTAAATATATTACATCCACATATTTATATGCAAATGGTTTAGATTGAAATCAATTCAGCACTTCCATTTTTTTTCAGTGCATGCCTTTCAAAGGGACTGTTCTGACCTGGCACCGAGCCCACACCTGCCTCTGTTACTATGTTATCAGTTTTTACTCCACAGCTATTACACTGTTATCATAATATAATGTGGATAAAGGTGAACTTTGCTTACATAGCGGCTTACAGACCATACAAATCAAACTGTAAAACACAGCATCATTTATCAGTTTGATATCCATATATCACCATATTGTCATGAGGTAATCTCATAACTCGCTGCTTCATTTTTCTGTTTTAATTTTGCCAGCTGCCCTTTAAACGGTGTGACCTTTTTATATCATGTTATGTCATCTCTCTCACTCCCTGTCACTCTCTCTCATTTCTCTCATCTCCCTTTCTCTTTTGCTCTCCCCTCTTTCTCTCTCTCTTTCTTAATTTCTCATTTTCTCCCTCTTCCTCTTATCTCTTTCTCTCTGTTTCTTTGTATCTTTTTCTCTCTCCCTCTTTCTCCATCTCTTCTTTTGGCTCTCTCTTTTTCAATCTCTCCTTTTGTCTCTCCCTCGCTGTCTCTTTTTCTCTTTTGTCTGTCTATTTCTCTGTCCCCTTCTCTCTCTTTTTCTCTTTCTCTTTCTTTCTTCTCCCTCTCTCTTGCCATCTCACTTTTTTATCTCTCTCTATTTCACTCTCTCTCCTCTTTCTCCTCTCTCTCTCTCTCTCTCTCTCCCTCTCTCTCTCCTTTTGGCTCTCTCTCCTTTTGGCTCTCTCTCTCTCTCTCTCTCTCTCTCTCTCTCTCTCCTTTTGGCTTTCTCTCTCTCTGTCTATGAATCTTTTTTTTGTTTATTTCTCTCCTTTTGTCTCTCTCCCTCTTACTCTTTCTCTTTGTGTTTAAATACAACTTTGAAACCCTGAAAAAGTGGTGAGACCCGGAAAAAATGTTTGATAAACTTTGTTCTGCAAGCAGTTATATCACCACAGTGATGGGATGCTGTGAGTCATGTGAGTCTCTCTTCTTCTCTCTCTCTCTCTCTCCCCCTCTCTCTCCCCAATCAAAGCGTGTATACAGACAGTAGGAATTCTGGGACCGATGTTTGGTTACATGCTGGGCTCCTTCTGTGCCAAGCTCTACGTGGACATCGGAGCTGTGGACTTAGGTAACATTACCAAATAAGACCTGTTTGCCTCTGTACATAGCCTACGTCCTTACCTCCTGTTATTCATAGGTAATTAGGTCTATGCAGAGGTCATTTCGGATCCCGAGAAATAACCCTTTCTCCCTTTAATGGTGAGGCGATTTCTGCTGTGTAGTCTGCTGTTCTGAATATAATCCAACAAAGATGTTATTTTATTTGTACTCTGATGAAAAAAACATCAATTATAAGAGTTTCCATAGCAATGTGCATTGCAAACACAGTGCATCCAACAATAAAGGCAGCACAGAGCTTCTTTTATACAGTGATAGGAAACACAGAAACGCACAGAAAGTCTTAAATCCCACCTACAGATTCATTTTACCATGACCAACGTGAACATACACACTTGCCAACTACACTGGGCCAGTTTTAATGAGTTAAAAGGATAAAGACAAAGACTCTGAATGGATCGACAGCAAAAGTAAAAGAGGCATTCATATATGTCAGCTGTGAAGCTGTGATATCTATTTCAATTCTACTATGAAGTTACAATTTACTGACCAGGGCTGAGTTTCCCAAAAGCATCTTAGCACGAAGATGATTCTTAAGTGGTTAAGCGAACTTTACAACGAACACTCTCTCTACCAGATATGACCCGATGCTTTTGGAAAACTGGGCCCAGGCTTGTCATTTTAGTCAAAATGAGGTTTTCAGCATAATCTGTCGCTATCCAAGCAATTACAGGAAGGGATTTCTGTCCAGTAATGGACTGCAGACTTCCCTGGATTACAGTTGTTGGCTCATTCACTGCGCCACATTCTCTCCCCCCTGGCTGACCCTTTGTGCTGTCCCTATTATCGACTAATGTGCAGTGTGTTAGAGGGGAGCCGTCTGTAACTATTACCTCTGTTTTGTTTGCTCGGTCATGGTCATTCCTGCCGAAGCAGTTTTAAAGGTCAGGGACTTAACTATTGCTTGGCCTTCTGTCAGCTTATGAGTATTTCTGGTTATAGGCCTAAAATGGTTAGTATTTGTCTTATTACTCAATACTGCCAGTCAAAAGTTTGGGGACATCTGGCTTCAAAAGGCTTTGATCAAATGTGAATGTTTTCATTGTTGGATATGTTTTTGTTGCTCAATATAAAATTTAAAGGACACTGATTTTATTCCCTTTTTGTAATGTCAGCACTCATTTTAGGTGTTTAAACCAACTTTAGACCCAAAAGAGTTTTATGTGCTTTTAACAACAGTTTGGAAAAGTAAACTGACAAATCATTGTTTAGGCTAAACCTGCGTTTCATACCAAGAAAGGCATTTTGATGAACATGAAGCTGAATATTGAAGATAAATATGCCCAGAAGATTAGCATGTAGCTGTTTTGTGTTAACTACGGAGCCCTGCTGGTCATGCATTATTTTCTTATATGGGATGTCACCAGCAGGGCTCAGTAGTTAACGAAAGCTTTACAAGCGTTTTATCTTATGTAACCTGCAGTTTTTTGCACTATGCATTAATTTCCTTTAGTAACGTTGATGGAATATATTTGGATGGAAAGTGTATTTTATTGTGTTTAAAAGAAGTTTTTTTTGCTTTTAATTGTGACAGTTATGCTTGATTTTTTGATATCATTAAAACTGCAGTTGTGCTGGCCATGAAAAGGTATGAATTGTTTTCACAACAGGGGGTTCTCACCCCTTCCCTTTCCTCCATCCCTCATTGCTCGCTGAGTCACAGCGAGCCCACAGTGTCCTAGTTAATCTGATAACAAGTTGAAGTAATAGGGCAAATATTTTATTTGATCAAATTGATTAAAATGTCTGAATTGATTGCCATTCTGCCTCTAGGGGGCCTGCAGAAAGAGGATATTTGAGAAGTTGCAGAAAAACTTGAACCAAAGAAAATTTTAAAAGGTCTCTAAACCTTTGATAGCATGTAACTTTGGCACTAATTATTTTAGAGAAGCATATTTCTGGGTGTGTAGTCATGGCCTTTAACACTGATTCAAGTGGTCAGTATGGATAGTAGAACATATATGACACAGTATTATGCTCCTTAGATAAATATCAACCACTGTTAACCCACAAGATAATTGACTGGCTGACCTTGTTAAACTTGTGGTCACTCTTCAGTGCTATCTTTACGTCTCTTCTTCACAGACACCATCAGCATTAACCACAAAGACTCACGCTGGGTGGGGGCCTGGTGGCTCGGCTTCTTGCTGACTGGAGTCGTGATGTTACTGGCAGGGATCCCATTTTGGTTCCTGCCCAAGTCACTGCCCAAGCAAGAAAAGAGCCCAGCCAAGAAGAGTGCTGATGCCCAGGAGGGTGAACAGGACACTTTCATCAGGACGGACAGCAGCAACAGCCCACCATCTGACAAACAAGAGCCCGTCACTATGGCTGCCTTGGCAAAAGGTGCTGCTCTCTCGCTGCTATGAAAGAAGTGTCTTTGGTAGAGAGACATTTAAAGGGATACATTAGCATTTTCAACTAATCTCTGTTTACAGAATCTGTATAATATTACTGTTGAGCACAGACGGTAATATTGACATAACATTCACTCATCTCAACATTCACTTATAATACAAGCCAGTTGCTGAAATCCATTAATAAATATTTAACCTATAGGATTATACAGTTGTACACAAAAGCTTAAATATGGCATTTCTGCTAATTTTAGTGCACAATTTCTTTTAATTTGCTGCATTTAACATATTGGAAAAAATAAAATATAAACTGTGCCATTACTTTTGCACAGACCACATTTTATGTTAAATTCAGCAAATAAACAGTAATCATGCATTAAAATGTACAGTATGTGTTCTCTGTAGAGGATGTGATTATTTTCACTTAGAATATCAACAAAACGTCATTTGACCAAAAGCATCCAAACTTTTGCACATGACTGTACAACACAAATTCAAAACTACAAGTGTTACACTCACAGTACAGGAATGAGAATGAGACATGAGAGAATGTCTTAGCAAAGCTGTTTTACAAAGTTTTATCCAGGTTTGAAACGCAATAAAAGAGCAGTTTTTGTTCCTCAGGGTTTTCTGATATTCATTGTGATCAACTATGGATACCTGAAATTCCAGAAATTCCCCTCCAAATACCTTTGACTGAAGTAATCATGAAAGTGTTCTACAAAAATATGTTTTGCAAATAAATAAATAAATAAATAAACACTGACAGAATTCAACAACTGTCCAGTAGCTTCTGCTTTGAACCAACAGTTTTCTATTTCAAAGTTTAGGGAAAGAAATTGAAATTATTGTCCAATGTAATCAACTATACCATTTATGATTCATGTGACAGATAAAGATTAGGTTCAAAAACACTGGAGAATTCTTTTATATGACCTTTAATTATAAGAATGTGAAATGTGGTCTAGTATGTTTTCTACGTTTAAGACTTCTATACTAATAAGCTTATAATAGTCTATAATAAGCTATAATAAGCTTATTGAGTTTCAATATTTGGGTTTTGATAGAAACATTTGTTGCTTTTTTTTAAGAAAAAGTATAACATCATATCCTTTTTAATCTTTTGGTGGTTTTCTGCAGATTTCCTGCCGTCTCTGAGGAGACTCTTCAGTAACACGATCTACCTGCTTATCATCTGCACGGCTTTGGTACAAGTCAATGGCTTCATCGGAATGATAACGTTCAAGCCCAAGTTCATGGAACAGACCTATGGCCAGTCTCCATCAAGGGCCATCTTTTTGATAGGTGGGTGTTTACTTTTTTGCCCCGTTAGCTGTTCAGAACTGGAGCAGTTTTGTTGTCTCAGAAATACTGGGTTATCCAGTCATCATGCAGTTCACAAGTGGGATTGTAAAATAAATGCAGTCTTGTTGAGGTGTTTGAGCTGCTGCTATCTCTCCCACCTTCTTATCTTTGCTATTTACACCTCTGGTTTGTACCTTGAGAAACATGGATGAATTATTAAACATATGTGACGTATTTCCCTACAATGCTCAAGTATTATTTTAGAAGATTTGAACTTTACTTGAGTAGTATTGAAACTGAACACTTGTACTTTCACTCAACTACAGTTCCGTAAGAGAAAAGAGACTCTTTTTTTTGCCAGTCAGTCAGATTCATAAGTGTTTGATTTTACTGTTTTTCTTAAAAAATCCAACTAAATTAACCAAACAATCATTGTAAAATGAAACTGCCAGCTTTTAGTTGATTTACCGTTTACTTTTTACCTTTATATACTTGAAAATTATGATTTATGTAGATACTTGTTGACTTTCCCTCAAGTGTAGACCACCCACCAAGAGCTGGACCACCCAGCCCTTACCCTGCTTATGAAAGGCCCTGTCTCTGGTTCACTGACTGACTGTGTGACTGACTCAGACTCATGGTTGAAATGCATGTGTTGTTGGCTGCATCCTCATATTGTAAATGCAGGGTTTACGTACAATTAATGAAAGAAAGCAGAAAACACATCGACTGAAACATTTCATAGTTGTTCCCAGTAACGGGACACAGTATGCAGTAACACAGCAGGGAGTCAGCTACTGAGTGTTGATTTGAGCTCATGTCTGACTTCAGTTAGATATTCTCACCTTGCAGTAAAGCCAGTGTTATTCAGCAACTCTTTCACGTGAGGATAAAGTCACCAAGCGCTAGTATACAACCACTTAGTGCCCCAGAATGTAAACTGGAACAGTATTTTGATGTGTCAGTCCTTATTTTAAGAATTATCACTTTGTAAAACGTTTGGCAGTGTAACGTTAGATAGCTATGAAGCTATAATTCTAGGGCTGTTAGCCTATATACTAGCAGCTAGAGAACACGTGGTTTGTGCTCGTGGTTTTAAGCCCTCAGAGGAAAAAGGTACATTTGCTACACATTTTCTGTAACTGCAGACATTGGTGTGAATGTGTGTGCAAGTGAAAATTCACCATTCTATTTTTATGCTAATAACAGCCCTAATAAGTCTAATTTAGGCTAATTTAGAATAAGTCTTTGTGGATTTATTCATTAAATAGCAGTGGATACAGCATGTCAAATTCACAGAGAAAAAAGATTTTTTATTTCATTATTCTATCAGATTTATTAACATGGCTATTAGCGTATTATTATTATTATTATTATTATTATTGTTATTATCAGTAGTAGTAGTAGTAATAGTAAAATTTTTTTGTTGTATGTTGTTACACATATACACATGCACACATACACACCCATATGCACATATATATGTACATGTATATATAATATGTACATATATACATATGTATATATCTTCTTTATAAGTACTATATAGACAGCGTATTTACTATAGACATGCTTCTCTTCTATAGGCATCTTGAACCTGCCTGCTGTGGCATTGGGGATCATCACAGGAGGCTTTGTGATGAAAAGGTTTAAACTGAATGTTCTCGGAGCAGCCAAAATCTGCATCACAGCCTCCTTCCTCTCTTTCTGTCTCCTGCTCGGTCAGTACTTTGTACACTGTGGAAACACACATGTGGCTGGACTCACTGTGTCCTATCAGGGGTAAATACACTCCCACTGTTTACTTCCATGCTTTGCACATGTGTCACTCTACTCTGGAGGAGGGCAAACATTGCCATGTGAACATTCTGTCTGCTTGTTAGGATATAGAGCTGCTACATGGATTTTAAAAATCGATAATACAAAGCACGACAGCAAAATAACAAAGTACAGTATGGATGAAAGGTATAGGTAATGTAGGTGAAATGTGTTAGGAACTCAACAAATTATCTGCCATTATTGTGTCTTTACCCCTTATTGTAAGTGTACAGCGTTCACACTTATGAGAGCTTCAGAAAAAATGTATAAAAGTTAATGAAGCTCACAGTGTCTTGAAAATGTTGGCAGTCCACTCGTATGCTGGTTATTCTTATTGTGCCAGGTGGAGCTAGACCAAGCTGAGCAATGTTCTCTAAAACATAATCATTTAAACTACTGGTTTGACCAATTATCAGCTTTACACAAATTTCCTCTTCCGTCTACCTCAAATGTAGTAGATCAGCCAAGACAGACTTGCTGTTTCAGTTTTCCACTGGAGCTACAAGGCTAATGTAGCTAACAACAAAGGAATACTGTTAAAATTGAATAACATACATACATTTACACTATATTCCCTCCAAATATAGTTGATCCACCAAGACATGTTTGGTGTCTGAACTTTGCTTCTTCAGCTAGTTTTGTACTGGAGCTACAAGGCTAATGTAGCTAACACTAATGAGATTGCAGAGGTTAGCTTTGTATAGACCAAGGGGTTGGCAACATGCAGCTCTTTTACCGCCCTGTTGTGAAGCACCATTAGATTTTTACGTAAAAATAAAATAATCCTTTGCAGCAAAATAAAGTTCTGTTCATTGTTTTAACACCGTTTTGACAATAAATGGACTTGTTGGAGTTGTGTGTAGCTAACTGCTAATTCACCGACCTTTAGCCCTGAAGGCTGGCGAGCAGACTGCTGGTTACCATTGCACTGCAGATAACAATGTCACCTAGCTAGTAGCTAATAAAAAGGCAGAGAGAAAGATTTAAGACGAACATCGATAATTTGGAGCCGAACGGACCTTTTTGCATTTATAAGCACGCAGTTGGTTTCCTGATGTGTTTAATCTGCAACGAGAAACTGTCACGTCAGCTTCTCGTTCAAATTTTCCCGTTCCACCTTAAATGGTGCAGCAGTTACATTCTGGTCCCTCAGGCATCATTTAAGGTGGAACGGGAAAATGTGAAGAGAAACTGGCAAATGAGAAGCAACTTCAGCCTCGTAAAAAGTCGATCGTTAAAAGACATTTTACAAGAAACTATTCTAATGTTACTTTTGCGGAAAACTATCCAGCCGGAGATGAGATAAAAGTTGAGCTAAAGCTTAAAGCAGAGCAAAGTAGCTAAGTCTGTGTTTTTATTTATATTAGCTATATTTTAGCCTATGCTAGGATGCTAGCAGATACTGAGACATATATTTACAGCCAAGATGGTAAAACAGACATTTGTTGAAACTACAACATTTGGGTTGCCGACCCCTGGTGTAAACTATTGTTTCTAGCTATGCAATGTACTTTGGTACAAAACTAAAGAAGTAGACCTCAGACATCAAACATATCTTGCCTAATCATCTACATTTGGGTTAAGAGGGAAACTGGATAAATATATTTTTCATCACAGCTGTTGATCCTTTTATATCTGTGCTTTTTAGATATATAATGTTTTGTGTTCTTTAATTTTCCATATTTTTTCTGCCAGTGAACCGGAGGTGTCCTACCAGGAGCAGAGTCTGTTGTCTCAGTGTAACTCAGGCTGCTCCTGCTCTCTGAAGCATTGGGACCCCGTGTGCTCCTACAACGGCCTTACCTATGCCTCCCCCTGCCTGGCCGGCTGCCAGAGCTCCACTGGAGTCGGCAAGGAGATGGTGAGCTGTGCTGTTTCAGAAAGATACACTTTATAGTAACAGAAAGGGTTCTGCTATTGTTATGATGTCAAGCTTCTAACAAACCCATTCTCAAAAAGGTTCTATGTAGAACCATATACAACACATTCTTCATCAATCTGAAGAACGTTTTCACCATGCAGAGAAGCCTTAAGTATGAAATGGTTCTATACGGAACTCATGCTTCCAAATAGAATCATTGCTTTTGCTAAAGAACCCTTTAAGAACCGTCTTTTTGTAGTGTGTAGATTAATTACATTCAGGCTTGTGATGACACTTTTTCTCTCTTTTGCTTTGAAGGTCTTTCACAACTGCACCTGTGTTGGAGATGCTTACCTGCCAGCTGCAAACAGGTCAACAGTGCTGGGTCAGTGCCCACGGCAGGAGAACTGTGACCGCATATTTAAGATTTACATGGGGGTGTCAGTGCTGGGGGCTTTTATCTCAGCTTGTGGAGCCACTCCAGGATACATTATATTGCTCAGGTAATTGATGAGGGGAAATTCATCCACTGCAACTTGTCTAGCTTGTCTAGCTATCCAGCCCCTTAACTGTCTAGGTCTATACAGCCTGACTTGAAGTCTTTGGCGCTTGGGATGCAGACGTTGATCGTCAGGACCCTGGGTATGAGCATTTCTCCATCGTTAAATCTCATCATTTCAAGGGTGTAGTTGTGGTCTCAGAAGAGAGGGGGTTACAATGACATTGGAGATTGGACTATGTTCTCTTTAGGTTACTTACATCTTTTCCTTTTGCTCAATACTGTTGAGCTCTTAACTATGCAACTGAGTGTAGCATTACTATGTAGTTGTAGTGTAACCATGAAAATCTATTATCAACAAAAATATGTGGTATGTACGGTAAAATAAAAAAAAAATTGATCATTTTTTCAGGTGGAATTCCTCCTCCTATTTATTTCGGAGCTTTGATTGACAGGACTTGCTTGAAGTGGGGTGTGAAGCGATGTGGGGGGCGAGGAGCTTGTCGACTTTATGACTCTAATGCTTTCAGGTAAACACTCACATGCTCAGCAGAAACACATTCAAACATTCTCATCAGTTTGATTAGGTGCAGGACTGGGAAAAGTAAAATATAAAAATATGGATCTTTTCTGCTGTTCCATTCATTGTGGTGGCAAATGGTGTCCCACAACTTTGGAACCATGAAAAACATCAGTATATTCTTTGCTCTTTTGCTAAATTAACCCTTGTGTGGTGTTTATGTTTTTGTTACTCAGTGGGTCTGGTTCATCCACCTCATTATTGTTTTTTTAAATCAATACAGCCATAACAATTTATGTAAAAATACCAGATGTTTAAAATATCACAAGTGGCCAGCATAGGGTTCTCCTTTAGCAGCTGCAGCCAGTCAGCAGCCTGTCCATGTTGTCCACCCGCACACAAATGCACACATACACAAACACACACACACACACACACACACACACGCACAAACACGTACACAAACACACACACACACACACAGACACACACACACATATGAACACATACACACACAGACAAACACACACTAACAGCAGACCATGTAGGAGGGGAACAGAGTGAAGAGACACAGCACCTCCACACTTTTATCCCCCGCAGGTTCACCCCAACACCACATGTGTAATATAAATGTGTAGTAAGTATCACAGTAAATAAGGCCAAGGAATCTGAGGTTGAAATAACAATAAATTGCATCATTTTTTCTTTAAATGGATCCCTCAGACCCGAACACCACACAAGGGTTAACCGGCAAAATATTTATTTTTGAATTTTTATTTTAAGCAACAATTCTGATGCTTGTTTTTTAGTTTAAATGGTAAGAATGCATTTAATTTATAGTCCGCCCCATGTTAAAATTATTTTAAACATATTCATATAATTTTATTTGGATAATACATCTTGTTCCAAGATTGTTTTCATGAAACATGTCATAAAAAATCCACACTTAGTGATATCTCTTTTTATATTTCTGATAAATTTGGCTAAATTACTGATAGCTTCATGTTTTGCATAATGATTGCATGAACACAATATTTGTAATTTTTACTTTGAAAGTAAAGTGGCAGTTAACTATTTCAGAAAAGTTTTAGAAAAGTTTAGACTTACAGTCAGTGGCTTTACAACTTTGCTGATGTTCAATATAACAGTTTATGTTTTGCAATTTAATTGCATATCAACATTTGTATCACATTTGCCATGGTGAAATGACCCATGCAGGATTATATTAGGGCTAACCATGGACATGGAATGGCTATGGCAATTTTATCTGAGCTCTTGCTAAGTCTTTTTGAAAGGAGATGTCATTTTTTTATTGAATTGTTATTGGAATTAGAGGCTACCCATTGTGTTCCTCAACCAAAATTAAAGCTTTCAGGCCTACATGAACACTAGAGGGCACTGTCTACCTGTTTTTGTTATTATTTTATACACTGTAATCAACAGTTTTCAATTATTTGAATCTCACAATGATAAATATTAGATACAGCACTGTGCAAAAGTTTTAGGCACCTGAAATGAGCTCAAATATTACAATAAATCCAACTAAGATTAATATAAAAAGAGTGATTAACAAATCCATGCAATGGCACAGGAAACAACATTTGTCCTTCATACTAGCTTATAGGATATCAGCTACTTTTTTTCAAAAATAAGAAACATATCTTACTTTTTTCCTATAAATATATATATAATTTTTTCAAGTAAAAACACACACACTTCTGAGGTACAATGCTTAGGTTAACTTAGGTTAAAACTTTTGTAAAGTACTGTATGTATTTAGATTTTAGATGCGTTCATTGCCAAAATTCCATTTTTTGCAGTCTGGCACCACAGAATGTCTCTTATCTTTGTTTCTTAATCTTGCTACCGGTGACCCACAGTACTGCACAGTTCCTGGATTGCTTTATTGAGCACAGCTGATACAGTTCGTCAGCTGATTATGGAGCCCTTTATGAACTGGATTAGGTAGGCTGGGGGAGAGAGTACTGAAACTGTTCTGTGCTGTGTGTGGCCAGAAGCAGGATTAAGAAATGCTGGCTTAGACTGTTTTACTCTAGCATCTGTATGTACATTTGTAAAATTCCTGTCTTCCAGATCAACGTTCCTGGGCCTGGTCTACGGCCTGTACTCCCTCTCTTACGTGCTGTGGGCCGTGCTCTACAACAGACTGGCCCATCGCCACAAGCAGGAGGCCATGCAGAATCAAGCCAAGGACACAGAGCAGGGAGCCAACGGCGTCAACGGCGGCAACGAAAACGGCCCAGCGGCAATAGTCAAATACAAGGAGGACCTGGACAAAGAGACCACTATCTGAATTCACCGCCTGGATTCACATGTGCCCAAAACAAACCTGTTATTTAGGCTACAGTCATACTGTATACATTATGTAAAGCTTACATGAACATGTACAGTTTGTGATTTGTGGTATTCTGCTGGAATTTGCGTATGGCCCTGGAGCTGCATGTTACAAACGGTCAAATGCACCTTTACCACTTACCATCCAGACTTTCTTAGATTTACCACAGTTAGACTGGTGCATTGCCCATTAGGAAAAAGCCACAAAAGCAAAACCAAATGCAGCTGATACACTGGGATTATGTACTGAAAGGCCTAATGCATTGAATTTACTTGATATAACATCAGGGGTTCCCAAACCTTTTGCAGTTCACAGCCCACACGACTGAACACAAGAGCTTTCACAGCCCGCAAGAAGATTTAACCAGCCCAATGCAAGAGAATAGAGCACAATCAATGTAGCCTGTAGACAGTATAACATAATAAACACCAAATTTTGTTTGTAGCCGTTTAGCCATGCTAGATCAATTCCATATGATCAAAAAGAGAAAAATAAACATATCTAGATGGCATTTTGCCAAACCAGTGTCTGAGTTCTGAATATTTAGTTATTTTTGATATTTTACTTTTACAAATAATTCTTACAACAATAATGTGTTATATTTAAAATGATTGATTTAGTTAGATGTCTATGTATTATAATTAATTTTTGGGTTCCAAAAAAATGCCAAAAGACCTCTAGCAGTATCACCACGAACCACAGGTTGTAAAGCATGGATCTGTATAAAAGAATATGACACAAAATGTTCTGAATAGATAGCAAAAAATAGTATTACTGATGTACACATTTAAATCAAGTAAACTCAATGCGTAATGTTTTTCACTGTACATTAAGGGCTATGTTTGCATTTACACCAAAGAAATTGTGCAACGTTGAATGCCATTTGCCCCAAACCAGAGCACAAAAGCATTGGTGCACAATAACAAACATATTGCTGTTGTTGGAAGAAAACCTCGTATCTCCAAAATGGTAACTTTAGAGGAAAAGGAAAAAACTTACTTTTAATGTAAGTCGATGGAACCAGATGTTTTTCCAAGTCATTTTGGGCTGTTTCTTTTGGTCCATTCATCATGAAATTAACACACAATATAAAGGGCAACAGGCATTTTTAAATTATGTCAAAAACTGAAAAATGACAAAAATGGAGATATGAGGTTTTCTTCCAACAGCAGCGATATATATTGTTACATATAGGTTCCCTGCTGTAGTCTAAGGTCATTCGCAGTATATTTATCCTCAGTGTTTTGATTAGAAGAGTTTTAATGCTCAGGTCATGATGTCCATAAAGGTGAGATATTTAGTCATAGCTCGGATGGTCTTTTCATTTTGTATTGCACTGTTTTATATGTGTCACATGAATGATCAGATGCAATGAGCGTTGATCACAATATGTACCTGTATATAATCATAAGATTGTAATGTGGATGGCAAATCCGCAATGACTAGATTTTTTATAGACATTCTTTTTGACCTTGTGTTTCATGTTCACATGTACCTGATCACGAAACTGCTATTAAACCACACAGAGAAATATTATTAGTTGTCAAAATGACTAATGCTACAAAGAAGTAATATTCTGATGTGAACAACAGATGGTGCTGTCCACACCAAAGTTTCTCGCTGCCTGCAGCTTCCACTGCCTCTTGTACCCATGGAAGCAACAATTTGGGTTTGCTGACGCAAAATAACCCCTTAAACCATAAAGGATCCACATTTGGGCACATTTGCAGTTTAATTCCTCAATCTCACACCTACACAGCATGCATAACAGGTTTGCAGCAGTTACAGTATAATTAGTGGTAGTTACTGTCAATAAGTCTTAAATATATGTCTTTCTAGTATTTAGGAGTAAAGAAGACAACACTAAACTCTTCATTATTTTGCACTAAATAATTTTATGCACATAGAAACCTTTCATAACATCCACTAGTATCTCTAGGCCAGTGCTTTTTTTACATAAAAATTGTAGTAGTTAGTAATCAATTAACAGAGTTGGAATGATAACTTTAAAAATTCATTCCCTATTTTTACTGATTCCTGATTTCCAGTTGAAAAATGTAATTGCAACCTAATCCAAAGATTACTGTTTTAAAGTAACATAATCTGAGTACTTTTACTGTCGGATTACTTGTCTTTTTAAAGTTATATGATTAAAGAAAGACAAAAAGAAAAACAAGACTTCCAACAACACTTTAACATGACACAAAACATGACACCACTTAAATATTGTGCTCATAAAGACAGTTACGGGCACAGCTCCCCAAGAAACAAATTCACTGATTTTAACGGGAATATGGAGCATTTTGGTACACTGAGACTAAAAGCCAATTGTGTGGCAGCAGTGCATACATAAACTCATGCAGGTACGGGCCAGCAGCTTCAGGTAATGTAAAAAATGTGATCTTGACAGTGGCATGATTGTTCCTGCTAGACAGGCTGGTGACTGAAGAACACTGAGCTCACTGTCAAGTTCATGAAACTAGTTTGAGATGACTTTTGAGATGGCTTTGTGACATGGTACATTATCATGATGGAAGTAACCATAAAAAGATTAAATTGTGTAAATTAAGATGTAAATTGTGGCCAAGAGAGGATATGCATGGTCAGCAACAAAACAAATAGGCTGTGGAATTCAAGCGATGATTGGTTGGTATTAACCAGTGTGCCAAGAAAACATTTTCCACACCTTTACACCACCTCCACCAGCCTGGACTGTTTACTCAAGGCAGGTTGAGTTTTTGGCTGACAAAACTTAACATGGTATTCTGCTGTTGTAGCCCATCCACCTCAGCGTTCAACGTGCTGTGCTTTCTGAGATGCTTTTCTGCTCACTACCATTGTGCAGAGTGTTTATCTGTGTTACTGTAGCCTTTCTGTTAGCTGAAACCAGTCTGGCCATTCTCCGTTGACCTCTTTCATCAACAAGGCATTTCCATCCTGATAATGCACCATGCCACAAAGCATAAGTTATCTCAAACTGGTTTCATTAACTTGACAATGAGTTCAGTGTTCTTCAGTGGCCTTCCCAGTTACCAGATCTGAATCCAATAGACCACCTTTAGGAAGTGGTGAAACAGGAGATTCATGACATGAACATGAAAGTGCATCCAAAAATCTGCTGCATGATGCAATTACATCAACATGGACCACAATCTCGAAGGAATGTTTCCAACATCTTGTGAAATCCATGCCATGAAGAACTGAGGCTGTTTTAGGAGCAAAGGGAGGCCCTACCCAGTATTAGTAGAGTGTTTCTAATAAAGTGCTTTAGAAATGTAGTTAAAGTCCATACTGCTTTCCTGGGATTTGCTTTATTTGTTAAAAAAATGTTGCTTACAATACCAAAGCGAAAAGATCAATCTGGTAGAAATCTTCTTACGTGAGCTCTAATTAACAACAATTAGATATTGATAATAAATAGATAATACCTAGAGGTCATTCTAAATACTTTGACTGGTTATCATTTGTGTTTTATCTTCTAAAGGTTAACACAAGGTTATCAAAAATCCTGCTGGTATTTTTTATTTTTTTGTTTTGATAATGTACCTGGAATTTTATTACTGTATTGTTTTACTGTAACTGTAATGGAATGCAGTTACTTTTTTATCCTGATAATGTAATGCTGCTTAATACATTTATTATGGTACTACCCACCCGTGGTAGTGAGCCCCTTTGTTCCAGCATTGCCTGTTCTGTGCTGCAATCACTAATTGTCCTCAACCTTGACCTGTGATTTTGGAATCTCCATCAAGCCTCTTTCAAATATTCCATGGCCTTCCCTGCTTTCTCCTCTAACGGGGTTCCACATAAGGACCTATCGGGTGATGTTGGAAGCAAAGTGAGTCCTAGGACCAGAAAAGGGGTCCAGAGCAGCAGGAACTGCAGGCAGGAACTGCAGGCAGCAGTGAAGGATTTCAAGCAGCGGGGCAGGAACTACAGGCAGGGTGAGAGCCATGGATGGAGCCTGAGTCAGGTGGAGGGCCAGGCTTCACCATCAAAGTTGGAGGATTTTGGGTCAGTGGTGGAATCAGAGGGTGCTGAGTCAGTGGAGGAGTCTGGTTGAGCAGGACACTGGGAGGCTGGCACAGGAACAGGACAAGGAGCCAATATAGGCCTTCATCCGCAGGCAAGAGAACAAGAGCATCTGGGCAGTCAACTGCAGGCAGAAGAACAGGATAAGTAGCAACCTCAGAAACAGGATGGGGACCTGGCAGCCAACTCGCAAAACAAAGCAAGGGTCAAAGACAGGAAAACAGTACACAAAGAACATGGTTCATAAACTAGTAAAATATAACAAAGACCTTGAAACAAGTAGGCCAAACAATGAAGGATGACCAAATGAGTCCAGAAATGAGCTACAGGCTTGGGTAATGATAAGCCAAAGTGGAACTGGAGCTGGAGTGAGTCAATTCAAAATGATAGAGTCAATGTGCTGATAGATGATAGAGTGAGCCAGTGCAGAACAGCAGAGTCCGTGTGCTGTCTTCCTACATGATATAGAGGGATGGTAACTTGACAGTAACTTCGGTAATTGTTCATATTTCTGCTCCATATAGCAGCACTGAAAGTGCCATTCTAGCCTAAAATTCGCAATTAATGTGTTATATGTTATGCTATAATTTTCAACTGGGATAGGCTCCAGCACCCTTGGGACCCAGAAGGATAAGCAGCTTAGATGATTAGAGAGATGATGAGGAGTATCATTTTTATGTTTTTATCCATTAGTGTTTTTCTAACTACAATACCCAGCATGCATTATACAAATACATCACATGATCATCGGGAATTCCTGTGGTGCCTAACAAATCCTGACTGCTAGATGCTAGAGGCTAATATCTGTGGTGGTAGATAACATTAGTAATATAGCAATCCAGCAACTCCAATTGGTCATCAAACTTTTTTCTTTGTTAGAGGAACTATTCAGCTAGCCAGCAAAGAAAGTCTAAGTATCCACCCCAAAGCACTTTCAAGACACTTTCATTTACCAGTAGAATTATATGGGACTAGATGGGATTGTGATACTACTATTGTTCCCGGTGAGTCCCGGTGAGAGTGACATGTAGAGCGGTTTGGTCAGTTCATTGTTTTCAGAAGATTCAGTTAATAACTTGCTTTGTTTTGTAATTCTTAATTCTGCCTGATTATACTTCTACCACTATGTCATAAATGAATCCATCCAAAAGACAGATTTAACTAATTATTGGTCTGAATTAGACTAATAGTTAAGTCAGTTATAGCTAAATTACACCCATGATGGCTGTGCATAGCATGATTCTTGTCAGCATCTGTCCCACCATGTTTGCACACCACACTGCTAGGAACATGAAGGACTTCTCCTCTTCAAAGGCAACTCCATCCAGTCTCAGTGGTTTATCTCTGTTGGTAGTAACCTTCAGAATCTTGGTCCTGCCTCTGTGCACCTGTGGTGAGACTGGGGTATGGTGTTATTTGCTCTGCGAAAGCAGTTCAGACAGAACAGGACAGACGTGCAAGATCGTCAGGTCATCAAGTTGCTTCTAGGGGATCCACTGGATTTGATTACCAAGAGCAACAAAAACTGACAAAGAAGACAACCTGGCCTCACTGCACTGTTTTGACCTAGAAATAATCAATCAGTTACCCATTAAACACTTGGCATTGCATTCCTTTGTATGGGTTCTGAATCAAGTTAACAAATTTCTTGGGGATTCCACTGTCCTTGCTGTAAAATGCTTTTCATAGTCCACAAAGCTGGCATTCAGCAAAAGACATTTGCACTGGGATGCAAATAGTTGCAATCTGTTTGATGCCAGATCTGTCCTGCCTGAAGTCCACTTGCTGATCTCATAGCCTCTGGTCAACTGGTCCCTTAAGTTTTTCCAAGATGATATATTTGTTAGATATTTTTCCAGAAACCGACCACCTTCATACTGTGTCCTTTATCAGGCAGCTTGATCAGGTAGCCTTCCTTCCAGTCTACTGGGATCTCCTCTTGCTCCCCTATTTTCTCAAAGAGTTCTTAGACCATTTCTCCAAGTGTCTGCCTTCAGTTCCTCCACTGAGATCTCATCAATCCCTGGTGCCTTCCTGATCTCTGCTCTTCTTGGTCTGCTACAATTGATGCGTAGGTCTGTCTCTGCTTCCTGGACGTTAGGCGGGTTGTCATGTGCCTGACTGTTGAGCAGCTCTTGAAAACGCTTTGTCTTTTATAACTGCTTCTCCAGTCCCGTTAGAACAGTGTTGTCTTTGTTGTTCACTGGTTGGAACATTTGTGTGAACTTTCCTGTCAGTTTCTTGATACAGCTGGTTCATATTTTTACCTGCAGCTGCCTCTTTAGCCTTGTGTACCAGTCCTTCTACAAAAATCGGCCTGTCTCTTCTTCACTTCTCTCTTGATTACAGCATATTCTTGATTACAGTACCTCTGCCTTTAGCTCTGAATCAGTCGTTTCGTGATGACTGCTTTTGTTTCTTCCTGGTTTCTGCTGACTTCCAGCCTTTCTGCTGTAGATTTCTTCTGCCAATCCCTTAAGATAGTCTCCAGCCTAGGTGAAAAACATTTGCTTTTAACCCCTTAAGCTTCTTCAATGTCTGCATCCTAAGGTTTCTTATTCAATAACTACTCAGTAAATACACAACATTATTGAGTTAATAGAAGTGAGGGATGGAAGTGCTACACTTGTTGAGAGGTCCATGATGGTCAAGGGGTAATATCAAGGTAATAAAACCTTGTTTCTAGCCTTGGTTAGGTGTAGGAATGTGGAGGAGGCAAATTTCTAATCTCTGCCCTGCTCTCTTCTGGCCCACAAAGCTACTTGGCTTCGGTTGCTCCACAGGCTGCTAGCAATGCTAATAACACATTCCTTTGGCTCAGGCCCAGGAGGGCTATTGGGACAAAACTGGGCTAAACGCAGTCAAGCACACCTACTAGGTCAGCCAATAATTGACCAAAAATTATGCAAAATACCGAATGTACAGAGTATGATGCTAGGTGTTCTAGTGTTCATTTGTTTTGTCTTCTGTTGGTCAGTCATTAGCTAATGTATTGGCCAGTTTTTACATTTGGTTGAAGTATAAATCTGAGAATGTAAACAAAATGAATGAAGGCACAAAAAAATTAGAGAAAGAAGTGTGTTTCATTGCTTCTATTCGATATAAGCACATCTAATGCACTTAGCACTAAAATTGCAGTGTCAGTGGTAAGCAAGCCACGGTGAAACTGGTGAGAGCCTTTTTTAGGCTGGATGGAACAGCCCTTTAGAAGTGTCTGTTGTGTTGTGGGTGTCCCTCAGGATCTGGCATGTGGACAGAATGGAAATGGCCAAAGGGCTTTGAGTGGTTTTGTGTGCAACTGCAGCCACAGGCTGGACTGGGACAGGCCGAAGATTTGAAAGGTAGACACCTGATCCCTCCGAGCACAGGCAAACTCACCTCTCCTTGCTTTTACCCCCTCCCTTCTCTGTCTCTTTCTGTCTCTTTCTTCTGTCTTTCCCTTTCATGCTCCCTTACTTTCCCACTTTTGTTCACGTTTCTTTCTTTTAGATTCCTCTGCATAGATTCTGTCGAATTTTTCTTTGCATTTTCACTCTCTTACATTCAGATTCTCCTCTTAACTTAGATTCTCCTTTCCACTTTCCCTCAGATTTGTCTGCAGTTCTTCTCTCTCTTTCCTGTTCATCCTCCCTCACTGTCTTGTTCTCACTTTTTCTGCATTTCTATCAGATTTCTCTAAATTTCTTGTGAATTCTCCTCCTTCTGGGGGCTTGTGCACCTGTGAAACCTCCTTCAACTTTCCTCCAGTCTCTTCAGCTTTCTCCAAATCCTTCCCTCCCCCCTTCTCTCCAGATGAATAGATGACGGAGGGGTCCGTGGCTGGCAGAGTGGAATTACTAGAGCTTAGTCAGAGGGGGGATTATCACTGTAAGTATGGAAAACTCTGAAAAAGTGCTTCTGTGCTTTGTGAATATAACTTTATTGCTTGCCTCTCTTTTGTCCCCGGTAGCAGAGTGACTGATTCAGCCCAGTTTGTTTTTTTGTTGGAGTTTGCTCAGCTCAGTTATCTATTTTGAGGATGGGGCTAGGGAAAAGCTGACCTTCATCTGGCACAGCACTTGGTAGCTGGTTAAATCTTAATCCTCATACTATAATAAGGTGGGTAATGCCCCTCTGAAGTACATTTTAATGTCATACACCTATGACACTGCAGATATGAAGAATATTAGAAGATTTTTTTCTTACTGACTTCTTTAAATGTATCTATATATGTGCATATGTCTCTACAACCTTACAAACTACAAACTAGGCAACTATTTTTCTGACAATTGTTAAAAAGCATTTTACGAATTGCTCTCAGCATCAAAATGGTTGACCCGAGTGAAGAGGACAATGCAAAAATGACCAGCCAACATGCACTCTGTACTCCTGATAAAGACACCCTCAAAGACCCCTGTTGCTCTACTCTTAAGGTATGTGTTTTGTGTAAGTGTGTGTGTGTGTGTGTGTGTGTGTGTGTGTGTGTGAGAGAGAGAGAGAGAGAGAGAGAGAGGGAGAGAGAGAGAGACAGAGACAGAGAGAATGTCCTCATTTTCAGGATAAAAATGTCCTGAATTTGTAGTAAAATGAGAAAAAACAGGTCTAACCTACAGGACTAAGAAACTAATCCTGAGCATTTCTTTTTGCTTACCGAGATTAACATTAGGGTTAGATTTATTAAACATTAGGTACTTATACACTGTACAGAATGAGAAATTAGTTTAACTCTAAATTACAAGGCATCTAATTGCTGCACTGCTTTCCTTGATTTAACTCAACTTGAGGACACCAGAGTGCATCCAACTCAAACTTCGTAGTTTAGTCAAAAGTTCTCCTAACTCTGATTTCTAGTTTCTCAGTTTAGTAACAATAGAATTTGCCTCAGTTTCGCCACCTGGGACTCTTTCTATCTTGCAATCCCACAAGGCATTTTCTCCTCTTGGGCTTCCAGATCTGGAGAGCTGTGGGATCACTGGGTTTCCAACTCAAAATCTTTTGATACTGGGGGTGAATTCTTAGACCATTGCACCACATGTTACTGTGCTACTTTTCAAAGTTCAAACAACAAATACTTTCTAAGGTGCATTAAAACTTAAAGGACATATAAATTCATTCCAGGAGGTTGCGAGTAGTGCAATGGGCTAAGCATTGACCCCTCTAGGAGGCTGTGTATTTGAACCCCAGTGATGCCATTTAAATCTGCAGAGGTGTGCACCCAACATTTACATAAATACATACACACACCTTTTGCAATATGTAAATGTTATTATTACATGTAATTTCTTATATGCACACAAAATACCTATAGGCCATGTTATTATTACTTACAGATACTTACATACATGTATTTGTGTATGTGTATATATAATACTACCATGTCCTGACAATGTATATTAAAAAACTTGAGTGTATGTGAATTTGTGTTTTGACCTCTTGTTTCTTCACCTACCTCATTCATGTATTCAAAACTAATGAGGTTCTGCATAACTTGCCTAAAGCCACAATGCAGGAGGCTGATTATCCTCTGTTCTTCTCTCCTGTGAATCCCACAGATGTTCATCATGTCCTTGTCCTTTGCCTACTTCTCCAAGGCTTTATGTGGCACCTACATGAAGAGTTCTATCACTCAGATAGAGAGAAGATTTGACCTGTCCAGCTCACTGGTCGGCCTGATCGATGGCAGCTTTGAGATGGGTAAAAAAAACACTGCGTGTGTGTGTGTGTGTTGACAGTGTACTGCTCTCATAGACAGCTATCACTCCTCTTTTATCAGAAATAATGCACAGGATTAAACATAATAATAATAATAATAATAATAATAATAATAATAATTGTAGTACTGGTAGTAGTAGTACTGTAGTAGTAGTAGTAGTAGTAAAGATTGTTCAGATAACACTTTTCATGCATGTAAAAAAGGTTCATTACTAGTAATAAATTTCATCTGTATGTATTTATAACTTTACAGTATATGTTTGCTAGTCATGTACTTGCCAGAATTTTTTTTTACCAAAACAGTCACTATCAAAACACTAGGTAAAATTTTGGAAGTGTCATTATTGTATTAATAGTTATGAAATTTATTGTTAGTAAAACAAAAATAGCTAAGGTATAGGGGCATTCAAAGCAAAAAGACTTAGGTCTAAAATCCAAGGCCAGTATGTATTTTTAAGCTCAGACATTTAAGCTCAGATAAGTTCAGTAGATTGATCCATGTAGATGTGTGTGTTTCTTATTCTCTTAATGCTGCTCTCCTGCAGGTAACCTGCTCTTTCTGGCTGTAGTTAGTCATTTTGGGGCAAAGCTACATAGACCCAGGCTCATTGGATCAGGCTGTTTTCTGATGGCTATTGGCTCTGCAATCACAGGACTGCCACATTTCTTCATGGGACGGTACAGTTTCATCAGCGAACAGTGATTTTGTAGGCTTTTCTGTACCTCTGTGGTATGTCAGTTGTTTGAAGATTCATCATTTCTGTGGAAAACTCTATCCTTCATCTGGCTTTCATTTTCGCAGATATAAATATGACACAGTTCTTCAAAACTCACTGAATGAAACTGTCAGTATAGCAGCCTGTCAGGATGCCACAGTACAAAGCGATTACCCGGATATACATCAAGAATTTACAATGAACTTCAACACAGGTATGCTGCTGGTACTTTTGAGGTCCAAAGCATTATTATTTATTTGTTCACATGAGCAGAAAATTCATAAGCAGAAACTTAAACTGATAGAACCCACTTAAAGGTTTTTCTTATGTGGAAAACAGCCATAAGGCATTTTTCTGAATCTGAGCGTAAAACAAAGTCTTGTTGGTTGCAGGCTCAGACTGTGAGAAAGAATCTGGTTCCTACATGTGGGTTTACGTGTTCCTGGGAAACGCCCTGAGGGGGATAGGAGAAACACCAGTCACTCCCCTTGGCATCTCATACATCGACGACTTTGCAAAAGCAGAGAACTCAGTGTTTTACATAGGTAATGTTACATGTTTCATGATTTTTCTAAGGAATTGTGAAACAATCAGATTCCAGATTCCACATATCCATCACAGAAACAGTCAATAACACAAAAGTGGAGAACTGCGATACTGGAGGCCTGGATTCCTGCACAATTTGGTGATTTCCCTGCTCAAACACACCTGATTGAACTCCAAAAAGGTTTAGAGAGCTGGAGTGTTGGAGCAGAGAAATCAGTAAAGCATGACTCCACTCCTCAGTTCTCCACCCTGCTATTACAACATGTAATCATTTTGTTGACCAACTGCATAAATATTCAGAATTTCTTCATTTCTTAGACATCATTTTATCACTTAACCTAGTCTCAAATATGGCTGTTTTTTTTGGGGGGGGTGGCCACAATGTCCCATAACAGCTTGTCTCCAGACCATTTCGCTGCTGGGGCCCATGTTTGGCTTCCTGATGGGCTCCATGTGTGCCAAACTGTATGTGGATATTGGATTTGTCGATGTTGGTAAGCACTTCCTTTGACTAATTGTGTTATATATTCTGATGTCTCACATCTGTGAAATCCTTTCAGTCTGTCTGACAGTACATGTATTATGTGGTTCATATAGTCATATGCAAAAGTTTGAATACCCCTGGTCAAATTAGCACACAATTAAGATTTATTTGCCAATTTTAACAAAGTTTTGCACAGGCCACATTTTGTATTTTATGACTCATTTTTTAAATATTTGAAACTAAGCAAATTAACAGTAATATAACAGTAAATTGACCAGGGGTGCCCAAACTTTTTATTTACTAAAGGGACACTTCAGCCAAAAAGGAAAAATGGAACCAGTACCACATCTGTTGTAAATATGCTTACTTGCATGCCATAGTGCTGCTGAAGTGGTCTCTATTGGGAAATTGGGTCTCTAGTGGATTTCCCATTTAAAGACTAAGAACCCCGCTTCGGGTGATGTACCTTGGAAGTGGGAAGGTGTTTTATTTCATTAGCTAGTAAATTCAGACCGAAGCAGATATTTAACATCACGGTGGCTTTTTTTGTAGACTCTGTGACCATAAGCCCCAAAGACGCACGTTGGGTTGGGGCCTGGTGGCTCGGTTTCTTCGTGTCATCCACCAGCCTGCTCCTGGCTGGCATTCCTTTCTGGTTCCTCCCTCGTTCCTTACCAAAGCAAGCTGAGGAACAACGGGAAGATCCTAGCTCTCCTCATGGCAATCAGGAGCATCCTGCACATCCAGCTACCCCAACTATGAAACTGGTGGACATTGCAAAAGGTATGTCTCTTTAGGATTCTAGCTGCTAACAGTGGCCTCTTTGAGGTTTTTTCCCACGATGATAACAACGGATTAGCAGTGCTCAAAGCATGGCGGACTCACCATGTCACACCATGTGTCACAGTGACACAATTTCACCCTAACTCCTAATGTAGATTATTAGGGCATGTTGGGTGTTTGAACTTTACTGCTGTAGTTTTGTACTGGAGCTAAGAGGCTAATGTAGTTAGCTAACAAGTAATTGATAGCTAATTTTGATTGATGCTATGTTGGCATTGTACTATCTGCACGTCTAAATCATCACAGAATTACATCAAACCTCGCTGAGTTGTTAAGTGATCTCAAATAGACTTTCTTATGTGGTTTCTGACACTGTATGACACACTTCATATCGCTGTTGTCGGAAGAAAATCTCATATCTCCATTTTTGACGTTTTTCAGTTTTTGACATAATTTGAAAATGCCTGTTACCCTTTACATTGTGTGTTAATTTCATGATGAATGGACCAAAAGAAATGGCCCAAAATGACTTGGAAAAAAGTCTGGTTCCATTGACTTACAATAAAAGTAAAGTATGTTTTGTCCTTCTCCTGTAAAGTTACCGTTTTGGAGATACAAGGTTTTATTCCGACAGCAGTGATATATAAACATGAACAAATGTATGCTGCACTACTAAATCAGTAGTAACAACCATGAAGTGTGAATTGTGTAAAATGTTCTCTTGTACAGGTTTCTTGCCCTCACTAAAGAAACTCCTGGGCACTCCAGCCTACTTCCTTCTGCTCTGTGGGAGCATTCTAAATTTCAACTCATTAATCGGCTTGATCACATTCAAAGCCAAGTACATGGAGCAACAGTTTGGCCAGTCCGCCTCCAGAGCAAATTTCCTCATTGGTGAGTTTCTGTATCTAGAATTGGATGCAGAGCCGATGTTCTGATCTGCAAGAAGCCCTAGCAGATTCATCCAATAACAGACAATAAGGCAGGTAATATGAAATATGTAAAAAAGTTTTTTGTGTAATTACAACCTGTTATTACATTCCATCTCGGCAAAGCATCACTGCCCACTCAAATGGCCCTTTGTGCTACTATACTTTAGTAGGTAAGCAAGCAATAGGGTGGCCAAATTTTAGATGGCTTGATTACTCAGTCATATTAACCTTAGTGTGACATACAGTACTGGGAAAAAGCCATAGGCAACCTGAGACAATGCTATGTAAAGTGATTTTATCTAGTCAGTATGCATATATTTATTTAGAGCAAAGCAGTAAATTCAAATAAACAATACATAGTGATTAGGTGTGTTAGCTTAACCATTTCCAAAGCTCTTCTTGAGGAAATCCTATATTTACAGTTACCATCCATATAAACCTAGGTTATCAAAGCTTTATTACATTAAATCAGGTGCTGCTGATGGAATTTAACAAATCTATGCAATAGCTGGAGTGCAGCGAGAAGTAACTAACTCTGGTCTTCTAACCAACATCATACCAGCTAGTCTAAGACTTTCAACACATCGTAAGGCACAGTGACAGCTGGGTATGATGTTGTTGTTGTTAGATTTAATAATTTGGAACGGACAAAATAGAACCTATGATGTCACAAATAAAAATACTATATTAGTAATAGTAATAAGCATACAACTACAATGATTTTTATTCAATGTTATACAAACTGCACTGCACCAAATCCAATTAAACAGGCCTAATTATGCTCACATTGCAATGAAAGATGTATTTAGCCAGTGTTCTTTATGTAATGATGATATCTACAATATGCTCAGAAAAGCGCATTTTGACATAATTTATAATGATAACGATAAAATAGCAACATATTGCAACACCTTTAGTTTTTACTTTCTTTTGCACTGTACTGACTCAACACAGTCCTCACCATAGAATTTCATTTTGCTTTTAATGTAGTCTCACGCAGCCACATTTAAATCAGCGAATAAAATTTAGTGTCTTTATTAATCCTATCTCCAAGCTTGGCAGGTGTGAGGTGGAACTTGCGGAGTGATGTTCTGCTCCCCCCTGGCCCTCTGACTCTGCTAAAATACCAAATCAACCCTGCTTTGTGCTCTAAACTATGTCATAGAAGCTTTCGCACTGTACCCATCTAGGTGTGTTGAATCTGCCGGTGGTTGCCGTGGGGATCTTTCTGGGTGGTCTGGTGATGAAGAGGTATAAGCTGAGCGTGGTTTCTGGAGCTCAGCTCTCCTTCCTTGCCTCCTTCTCGGCCTACCTGCTCATGCTCCTGCAGTTCGGCACCAAGTGTGACAACCTGCGCATGGCTGGCCTCACTGTGTCCTATAACGGGTACTGTAGACTGTATGTACTTTGTTTAAAGAAAAAGACTGATTACATACATGATCCAGGGCTTAAATGCTTCAGGATCACTCTTTGAGTCCTTGCTTGCCTTACTGTACATATCGCTTGGGAAGGAATAGTTTGACGAAAATCTAATTTACATGATTTTCTACTTACACCAAATATAGTCGATCAACTAAGACATGTTTGGTATCCAAATTTTGCTTCTTTAGTTTAGAACTGGAGCTGCTAGAAGTCTTGACTTGAAGTCAATTCTCACCCAAGCTGTTTCCTTAAACACTTGCCCAAAATCTCTCTCGACCTGCTCAAACCCAATCCAGGCCTATAGATCCAGATCAGAATTTAGGTCCAGATTATCACCCCCCAGTAACTGTCCAGACCCACCTGCTATATTGTCATCAAATTTTGGTTATGTAGTTGTGACAAGTGCAAGATGACAGCGACTGAGATAGAATGTCTCTGGAAATGGTGGAAAAGTACCAGAAAGCGGGATGATAATGTAGTTCCAATTCCATTCCACTACAGCGATGGAGCACGCCTCTTTTTTAATTATACAGCAGGTGGAGATGGCGTTGGATCTCTTTTACTTTTGCACATTTAGCCGTCTGACGTTTCTTCAGCATTGGGGAGCTGTTAGAATTACTTAGAGTGTCATTTAGATGGTAGTTTTTGAAATAGTGCTCAACAAATGTGTATCTCAGTATTATATCGACTAATATGTGATTTTCAGTCAATATTTTTATTAATCCAGTTCATTTTAAAAGGTGTATAAACTAAAAATAGAATAGAAAGTAGCTCTAAGGTGCAGCGGATTGTTTGTGTCTGTTATGTATTAATCACAGCTTTTAACAGGAAAATGTTGAGCTAAATATTTTCAGAAATGGCCCAGGCCTACCCCTAACCCTAAATGTATTCAATTGATCAAGACCTTCTAAATCATCACACACTTACTTCAAACTTCATTGTGTTGTTAGATAATCTCAGGTTGGCTTGATTATGTTGGATTTGCTTAGGAATATTATAATATTACATACTGTTGTTTATGAAAATGTATAAAAGTGCAGAAAATTCAGGCGTCAAGAAGAAGACTGCTATCACTTAGCTATAGACTATACTTCATACAGTATTAGGAAATAATAAGCAAGTCTATTAAGATTGACACTTAACAACTTAACATAGTTTGAGGCGAGTTTGTGAGGAGGTGTGAATACTGTTTGCACAATGCTAATCGGTATTCCAGTTACTTTATTAAGTGCTGTGAAGTTTGGTAAGAAAGAGATGAGGGAAACAGCACTTTCAGGAAAAGCTCCTTAATTGAACCAGCAGCAGTGCAGCACCACTGCCCAGTGCTGGCTGAATGGCCGAGAAACAGGGCAGGTCACCAGTCACCAACACACCTCTAGATGACGGTAGACACACACCCCACACCCTTTCAAGTTTCTTTTGCTTCAGTACATAGGTACATTATTAATACATAAGCCTTGCAGCAGCAACGCAAAAATAAAGAAAAAGACATGCACCAAACATGTTTTGGCTGATTGACTGCATTTGAGTGTATATTTGATATTACAGCATTAATCGATACCTTTAATTGGCCATTTTAACCGTAGATTGTGTGCTGTAGATATCTGGAGTTTACTGATCATCCTCTTTGTTTCAAACTGAAAAAGAGAAACTGAATGTTAGGAGTATTTACATTTCTGAGGCACACTGCTAGCTCTAACTCATAAAATACATTTTGCCCCCTCAGGACTCCTCAGATTTCATATGATGAGCAAACACTGTTCTCACAGTGTAACCAGCACTGTTCCTGTTCTGCAGCAGAGTGGGATCCAGTGTGTTCTGATGATGGCATTACATACATGTCTCCATGTTTAGCAGGATGTATGAGCTCCTCTGGACACGGAAAAAACACGGTACGTTTCAGAGTAACCAGCAGAGAAACTTCTGGTCCGCACAAAGACAGGAACAGGGCCTCTCTTTGTTGGCTGCAGCCCCCCCACTTCTACCTAAAGTCAACTCCCTGGGTGTCCTGTAATGCGGAATGTCTATTGATTTAGAATCTGATTTGATTTTGGTAATTTTATAGATTATTTTGTAGACAGCCACACTGTGAACAGTTGAAGTAAATGAGGTATGATATTCTAGGCTGTTTAAATAAATGAAATCACTATTGTTATTATGTGCAAAATGCGATACGCTAAACTGTGTTTAATATGATCCAGTTTGATCAAATCAGGTGATGATGATGATGGCTACCAGTTTAAAATGCTAAAGTAGATTTGTGCATAGGGGTACACCCAGGGGTTAAATTTGGATTTCAGAGGTGGGAAGCCTGATTTTTTCCATGATTGTCAACAGTGTGGGAACAGTATTGTTCAATTTGCATGAACCAAAGGTGCTGGAGTTCCCCTGAGTATACAATCTGATCTACTTTGGCACACATATATACACTGACCAACCACTTCTGTAGGTATGCTGTCTTGTATCTACACTCATTGTCTATTTTGTCAGCTCCACTTACCATATAGGTACACGTTGTACTTCTACAATTACAGACTGAATACTTTATTGGCCCCCTTTTATCCTGTACACCAATAGTCAGGACCCCCACAGGACCAGAGAGCAGGTACAGAGCACAGAGCAGCACTGCTGTGTCTGATCCACTCGTACCAGTGCAACACCCACAGTAACACACCACCACCATGTTAGTTTTACTGCAGTGCTGCGAACGATCCACCACCCAAATAATACCTGCTCTTGGTCCTGTGGGGATCCTGACCTTTGAAGAACAGTTTAAAGGGGTCTAACAAAGTATACAGAGAAACAGATGGACTACAGTCTGTTTTTGTAGAACTACAAAGTGCACCTATGTGGTAATTGGAGCTGAGTCATTTTTTGTGTTTTGAGTCAATTATTATGTGAAATGTGAAAGTCCACTGACAGATGATTTTAGACACGCAAACTATACCTGCAATATACAACTAGAGTTGCGGAAGACCTGAGAATGGCAGATGCAAAAGAAAGGGGACAAAGATAAAGCTTTTAGTTTTTCTGGTACAAATGTTTCTATTTTTATCCTCCTAAATTCAATTTTTAAATGTTTTTAATCATTAATCAACAAAAGTCCACTTAAATAAAAACCCCAGGTTAACCATTCATAAACAAGTCTTTTAACATTTGCCTCTGTGACACAACTTCATTTTCTACAAGTTGTCATAGCCCATGGTTGGTGTATATACATACACACACACACACACACACACACATATATATATATATATATATATATATATATATATATATATATATATATATATATATATATATACATATACAGGTAGATATATATGTCCACTTACTATATAGGTGCACTCTGTAGTTCTACAATTACAGACTGTAGTCCATCTGTTTCTCTGCATACTTTGTTAGCCCCCTTTTATCCTGTTCTTCAGTGGTCAGGACCTCCATGGACCCTCACAGAGCAGGTATTATTTGGGTGGTGGATCATTCTCAGCACTGCAGTAACACTGATGTGGTGGTGGTGTGTTAGTGTGTGTTATGCTGGTACGAGTGGATCAGACACAGTGCTGCTGGAGTGTCCACTCACTGTCCACTCTATTAGAAACTCCTACCTTGTCAGTTCGCCTTGTAGCTGTAAAGTCAGAGACGATAGCTCATCTGCTGCACAGTTTGTGTTGGTCATCCTCTAGTCCTTCAGCAGTGGTCCCAGGACGCTGCCCACAAGACGCTGTTGGCTGGATATTTTTGGTTGGTGGACTATTCTCAGTCCAGCAGTGACACTGAGGTGTTTAAAAACTCCAGCAGCACTGCAGTGCTGAGAATGATCCACCACCCAAATAGTACCTGCTCTGTGAGGGTCCATGGAGGTCCTGACCACTGAAGAACAGGGTAAAAAGGGGGCTAACAAAGTATGCAGAGAAACAGATGGACTACAGTCTGTAACTGTAGAACTACAAAGTGCACCTATATGGTAAGTGGAGCTGATAAAATAGGCAATGAGCGTAAAAACAAGGAGGTGCTCAAAATGTTATGCCTGATCGGTGTATATACACCAAACATGGGCTATGACAACTTGTAGAAAATAAAGTTGAGTCACAGAGGCAAATGTTAAAAGACAGTGTGACTCCAACTTCTTTATGAATGGTTAACCTGGGTTTTTTATTTAAGTAATTTGCGAAGATTTAAAACATTTAAGAATTGAATTTAGGAGGATAAAAATAAACACATTAACTCTTTTTACCAAAAAAAAAGAACAGCTTTTCCTTTGTCCCCTATAGGGGTGCGGGAAAAACTCGATTCTTAGATGCATCGCGATGCGGACGTGAACGATTCTGAATCGATTCATAAATGTTAAAAATCGATTTTCTAAATATTTAATTTTATAACGTAATGTTGACGGAACGTAAAACGCGGAACTTGGAAGTGGGAAAGTGCAGCGCCCGGACAGTCTCTGGCGGAACATAACAAAAACACAACTGGATGAGCGAGAAATTCAACCGGCTCCCTCTGCATTAAAGCCAGGTTAGATCAGGAGTCACAAAACAAATGATAAGAAGAGCCATTTTGCCTTTCAACAAAGTCAAACCACCTCGGGAGCCACAACATTTACTGCCCAGTATGTCTCAGTATGTGATGATGTCCTAGTATAGACTAAACAATATAAAGGAAAACGCAGATTTACTTCGCTCTGCTTTAAGCTTTAACTATAGCCGCTTTCCTCCCATCTCCGCCAGAAAACTTTTCTTCAAAACTAGAAGAGTTTCTTGTAAAATGTCTCAGCGTCCGGCTGTTTTACGAGGCTGAAGTCGCTTCTCATTCGCCAGCTTCTCGTTCTAATTTTCCCGTTCCATCTTAAATTCTGCTTTAGGCGCCGAATGTAACTGCTGCACCATTTAAGGTGGAACGGGAAAATTCGAAAGAGAAGCGACTTCATCTTCGCAACTTTTTTAGAGAAAGACAGTCTCTCATGCAGATTTAACCAACCGCGCTGCTTATAAATGCGAATAAGTCCTCCAAATGTTCGTCTTAATCTCTGTTTTTTCCTTTTTTTTGTCCCCCCCCCCAACCCACACATACACACACACTCTACAACGAGACCAAAACCGAAATAATAAAATGACTAATGAAAACGGGAAGGACGGCTGTAACGTGCTGCGTGGACACCCATTACCACTGGATCTTATTTGAGGGTAACAGCGCATTTTATCGCAGATGAGTGGCAGCAGCGTCTCTGAATGAGAGCCTTCTAGTTCACTTGCCACATCACTTCCATTTGATTTATTAATAAAAGATATTTTAGATATTTAAAGCCAATTATTTGTAAAGATCCATAATACATTTACATTATGGATCATTACAAATACTTTGCTTTAAAACTACCGAGTTTTCAGACAGTAGGAAGATAGAAATCATGTATAGAGAAAAAAGATGCATCGAGATGCATCGATAATCGTTTTATAATCGCATCGCAGCCCTCTGATTCGTAATCGAATCGAATCGTGAGGTGCCTAAAGATTCCCACCCCTAGTCCCCTATCTTTTGCATTTTCCATTCTCAGGTCCTCCGCAACTCCTGTTATATATCGCAGGTATAATTTGCATGTCTAAAAATATCTGCCAATGGAATTTGATCATTTCACATGACAAACTGACTTCAAACATATAAGAGTGGGTTGAACAAAAAATGTTTTCACTTGCCTTGAAAACCATTTTTGCAGTGAACCACAGTTAAGAGTTGAGTCCCATGACAGTAGAAGACAACATTTTCATTTAGGCAGCCAAAACGAGAAATGTTATCCTCTCTACCCAAAAAAAGTTTCCCTTTCTTTCTTTACATTCTTTTTTTGTATTTGTCTATCTCAGGTCTTCCACAACTGCAGCTGCGTATTGAGTCCTTCACCAGTAGAGGGCAGTACTTCTGTATCTCTTGGTCAGTGTCCCCGGGGTCCGGCGTGCAGTCGCAGCTTCACCTCCTACATGGCCGTGTCCGTCCTCAGCTCCTTCATTAATTCTCTGGGGACCACGCCTGCATACATGGTCATTATAAGGTGCCATGTCCGTGTTTAGTTTTGTAATATCAAAGCACATAGTCTTCTTGACAAAAAGAAAGAGATGTACTAAGTGGATGTATTGTAGGTGCATCAGTCCTGAGCTGAAGTCACTGGCACTGGGCATTCAGACTCTAGTGATAAGAACTCTAGGTAAGCGAGAGAAAAATGAAATATGCCATCAGTCCAAAGTGAACACTACCCTGTGAAATCAGCTAAAAAAGTACTTGAATTATACAGCTTAATATTAATGTAATCAGTACAAATGTACAATTTACAACTGAAGCATTGATGATGTCAATTATTCTATGCTAGCTTTCTAATCATGCTGGCTCTTTGGTTGAAATATTCCTTTAAATACATGTACTAATGTTTGTCTAGGCTTTTATAACCTATGTAACCTCTCTGATTCAGGGGGTATTCCAGCTCCAGTGTATTTTGGGGCTCTGATTGACTCTACCTGTTTGAAATGGGGCATGAAAAAGTGCGGAGGCCGAGGCGCATGTCGCTTGTACAACTCGGACAAGTACAGGTGTGTGTGCGTGTATGTGTGTGTGTGTGTGTGTGTATTGTCTTGAAAAGTAGCTCATGTACAAATAATGAAGCTACTTGTAGGCTATTGCTTTAAAGTGCTTAATTTCCTTTACTTAATCACTTTATGTTCCCTTTAGCTACTCAGTAATGTGTAAGTGTGAGAAGGCCCTTGTGTAGCATGCATAGACCACTGAAATCATGTCGTCATTCTGTAGTCAGCATCATGCCTATTTTATGCTGCTTTCATGTGGCCTTGATTTTTTATTGGTTTAATCACTTCCTACCTGGAGGCACCATGAACGCACTTCTACGTTGAGTGATGAAGTCAGGTACATTGAAATATTTGATGCAGCAAGAACTGCCTGAGCTGTGAAGTCAATGCTATTTCATCATGGCAGGCTTCAGAAGCGAACAGTCAAACGACATAATGCAATCAGATAAACTGTACAACTATAATAAACAGTAATGGTGAAGTGAATGAATGAATTTTAAACACGTTTACTCAACCTTTTTTTCTGATTCGTCTGAGTTCAAATCATCGTTAATATATACCAGCTAGCTAATGAACTACAACACCCATTTCACAACTTCAGTGTTCTGCTTATCTTTCACATGAACCACATGAGCACACAAATTGGGTGAAAGTTCCTCCTTGGAGAAAACTGCTAACCTACTGGCAGTATTTAAGCAACATTAGAGTTTTCTTGTGTTAGCTGGATTTCTCTGTGGTAAAAATGAATGGAATTTTTGTTTTTCAAATATTGTCAAAATTGCGCCCAGTGGTTAACAAAATTGTTAAGCTGAAACATTTATTTTGCTACATGCGAGCTAACATTGATGCACACTAAAATGACATCAAGTCAGTTAAGTACACAATAATACTCAAAACTATCCAGCAAGCTTTGTCAAGTATGGTAGTTCAGCTGCTTTGGGAGTAGTAAAGTGGAATAGCTGGTGTTGTTATGTAATATTGTTAAAATTAAATAGTAGACTTACTTTAATGTGCTGTCATTTCAGTGCCCAGGGGTTTTAGTTTGCTATCAGCATGGATGTAGCAATATTTACGTTTTGACCCCTAACCGATCTCGTAATTCATTTAGCTTAATACTTTTGACAGTTCATGTCTCTCTGCCTTATAGACAGGATTGGGATGACTGCTCTAAAAATATATTCCAATGCAGATTACTTATTACCTATTTTACATATATTTATTATAGTAGGATTACTATAAAGCACATAATTTGACATCACAAATGCCCTAAAACCCCTATGCCTAAAGCTGTCCACAAGTAAGAGCTATTAGAACTTGAGTTGGTTTTGTGTGCATCATTAAAAGTAGGGAACAGGCTCCCTCAATAAAGTTGGCTTTAATATGGAATATTTACTGAAAGATTCGCTGTAAAGTTGCAACAAACTAAAGAAAATTTTACTTTAAGAGGAGCTAATAGGAATTAACAATACCGAAATGGTAATAATTGATAAAAGGCAAGGCTACTTACAACCACGTTACCACTGTGCAAAAAGTAAATAAAAATAGAATGCAGTTGTCACAGGACAGTCATGGAGCAGACCCAAGCGCAGAGAAGAAAATCTGCAAGTATGGGTCTTACACAAAACTGCTAAGTGAAAATACAATAATCAAATATAAAATATGAACCTATTTATTCATCTTCTTGGTATTTCTGTAGTATAATAGGGTGTAATAAATAATGTTGTTAAATAAGGGTGCGCCTGGTTGGCACTGATTACTAGCCCCCGTCACCCTTGCTGGCAGCTGGCAGCACAGGCTGACCCTTTACAGCATCTAGATTTAATTGAAAATAGTACAATGACAACATATCAAATGTTGGAGCTGAAAAAAAGCCCAAAATAGTCGGGACGGGGGCATGTTTACCACTGTGTTGTATCATCTCTTCTTTTAACAACACTCTGTAAGCGTTTGGGAACTGAGAAGACCCAAATGCTGTTTTGAAAGTGAAATGTTTTTACGTTCTTGCTTGATATAGGATTTCAGCTGCTCAGCAGTTCAGGGGCCATTTTAGAACTCAGACTCTTTTATTACGGAGACATGCTATTGTAATACATGCATGTGGTTCGGCATTGTTTCACTGAAATAAGCAAGGCTTTCCATGAAAAACACGTTGTCTGGATGGTAGCATATGTTGCTCCAAAACCAGTATATATATTGTTCAGCATTAATGGTGCCTTCACAGATGTGCAAGTCACTCATGCCATATGTACTAATGCACCCCAATACCATCATGGATGCTGGCTTTGAACTGTGCGCTGATGACAAGCTAGGTGGTCATTAGCCTGGAGGACACAGTGTCCATAATTTCCAAAAAGAATTAAAAATTTTGATATGTTGAACCACAAGACACTTTGCCACAGTCCATCTTAAATAAGCTCGGGCCCAGAGTAGGTGGTGGTGTTTCTGGATCCTGTTTATTTATGGTTTCTCCTTTGCGTGGTAGAGTTTTAACTTGCATTTGTGGATGCAGTGATGAACTGTTTTCACAGACAGTGGTTTTCAGAAGTTTTCCTGAGCCCATGCGGTGATTTCCACTACAGGTTTGTGTCTGTTTTTAATGCAGTGCTGACTGAGGGCCCAAAGATCACAGCCAGCCAATATCGATTTTCAGCCATGTCCCTTTGCATACAGAGATTTCTCCAGATTCTCTGAAACGTTTAATGAGATTACGTACCATAGACATAATAGACATTCTTTGCTATTTTATGTTGAGAAACATTATTCTTAAATTGTTGCACTGTTTCCCAGCACAGTCTTTCACAGAGTGGTGAACTCATCATTATCTTTACTTCTGAAGTACTCTCTGGGATGCTCTTTTTATACCCAGTCATGTTACTCACCTGTTGCCAATTTTGTAGTTTGTTACTGTCCATTTCTGTTTGGACTCACCAGGTGGCAGTATTTTGTTAATAGTATTGTTGGTCTTCTAGTGGGCTCAAAGTCCAGCTCAATTCAAAGCTATTGTCCATTTACTTAAATTGTCTGTTTATATTTGACACTAATTAGAAATACATAAAATAAATGTAAAAATTCATATATGAAAATACATAAAACATTTTGAGACTTCTTATATACACATCATATGTCACTTATGATGAGCATTCATGAAAAGTGAAAGGGAAATTCCACCTTTTTTTTTTATTTTGTTGAGAGGTAAACAAATTTGTATCTTCCAAAAATAAATAAATAAATTGGCCATTCTAGAGAAACATATCAGCTCGGATTTCTTCTTAAGTGGTAGGAATAAGAGGTTATGGTGTTTACAGTAAAAAAGATTTTTTATTGTATTTGTTATCCAAACAACCAATAAAGCTACAGGCAACTTCAAAGTTTTTTTTTATAGTAAATGTTGCTAATGCTAAAATAGTAAATCCATAAAAATATATTATTTTGGTAATTTTTTTCTTTTTCTCTAAAAAAATCAATCAACTGCATTTTTCAGAGTACCTTACCCAGGGAAGATCTTTTAACATAGGTATTATAATTTAAGTAGAATTTGACTAATTTGTTATGATCTGTTTTCCAGAGTGATCTTCTTAGGCCTGATCACATGTTTGAGTGGCTCCTCGTACTTCTTCGTCATTGCTGTCATCGTGCTGTTGAGGAAGCAGTTCAGTAAAGACACTCTCAGAGCCCTCCGGGAAACTAACCAGGGCCGACTTGAGCTACAGCCACCAAAACTGCAGTGTGATGAGGCGTCAGAACATTGCTCCAGTCCATCACAACCTGGAGGAGAGGCTTTAGACCTCAGTGAGAGGACAGTAGAGACAACAGAGTCTTACGCACCACATGCATGCCCAGCTTCACCATCAACAGTGACCCCAGAGAAGCCAGGGGTCGTTGTCACTGAACAGGTTAATGGGCTAACTGGAGTGGACGGCAACTTAGAGTCAGCCTGCGGAGGACAGCAGGACTTGGAAACAGAGTCCAGAGACCCAGCAAAGGGACCAGCTGTAGCCTAACTCACTCACTTTGTCACTATACTACATTGAATAGTACTTGATTCAAATGTTTATATCATTTAGACATGAATGAAATACATAAACACAGATTTGTAAAGCTTGTCTAAGCTAGCAACAGTTGCTGTGACAGAATGCATTTGTTTGCAGAGCTTGTGTTGGTTTAATAGCCCAAATTTTATTCATGTGGAAATGATGTATACATGTGAACAGAGTTCACTGAGGACCTTACTTGTTCAGCAAGTCTGTTTCTCAGAGTCTGTATTCTTAAATAAAGAGTTGGTTAATAGCTTCATAATCATACTTTGACAGATTGCTGGAAATTCGTCTCTGTAATGGACTCACTGTCATTTTGTTTTCAGCTTAGTCACCACATCGAAACACACTTTAACCAACTGCTCAAATATTTCCAAAACAGAGATCCACCCCCACTACCCCCCGCCCTCAAGTTAATTCACTTTCCTGATTTATCAAAGCTCAGTGGGGTCAATAGCTGCTTGTGTTTGGGGTGAAATTAGGTTTTCTAGCCATTAGCAAAAAAAAGCTGCTTTAAATATTCTTGATTTTGTCAGTCAGTTGCCCATGTATATAACCGCTATCTGTCAGTTTACGTCTTTTGGCAAGACTTATTATATTTTTAATCCACATGCAACCAGTTGACAATTGATAAATATAAATATAAAGCTTCATTTTTGCATTTGCATTTGCATGTGACTGAGGATGAGGAACATGACCTCGACACTGTTCATTAGCTGGGATAATGGAGAGGATGCATCCACTAACACAAGTAGCCATCTCATTATCAGCCAGGTCACAGGTGTATTAGCTTCGCCTGCTGCTTCAGCTGACCGGTAAGTAATATTCTGTTGAACTAATCAAGCTCAAAGGTGAGAGGCTGGGGTTAGAAGTGTGCTGGCCACATCTTGCCACCCTTCAGCGGGGCTACATCTTTTCTCAGGGCTTGGTGGGAAGTAATAGCAAACAATAATAACCACAGAAACATGTTTTACTGATTTACTTTATTACAATGTTTTGTAGGGTTTAGATTTCTTTTACAAGTGCATTGAATGAAATTGATTCAAATGTTTTTCCACATGAATAAAATATATTACATCAACACATTCATTACCAAATGTAAGTAAACTAAAAGACAAATTTGCATTGGTGTAAGGCATTTTATTTATGCAGACATTATGCATGCATTTGGATATAAGCATCACTTTTTCCAGCTGCACATCCTTTCAGACTCACAGTGTTGAGTTGTCTTCCCACAGTAGAAGGATGGACAGAAACACCTGTGGATTTTTTCAGATTTGAAGCAAGAATGGAGCTTGATTTTCTCCTCTCTTTTAAAGATGGAAGCTTTCAGCTCTGTTTATCTGATGGTGACAGTTGTGGTGGTCTGCCAGGTCTTGCACGCTTGTTAGGAGTCCCATTTTCTCTAAATCTTTTATTATCCAAAACTCCAGTTTCCTTTCCTTTCCTTATATACAGTACAATACTGTATAATTCTGTATATGGGCTGACGTGTATGTTTAATTACACTAAAAGCTTTTGTTGAAGACCAAACAATATGATCCTAATAAATATCCCTCAAATGACATAAATTTTTTTTTTACACTCAGTGACACTTGATGTAGTTGGTACATACAAATAAAGCTTGAAATAATAAGTGTAAAGGTTACATGAGGGCCTCTGACTGGAGCAGGTGAAAGGGGGATGGATCAATGCTGCTTAACCATTAATGTCATCACTTGACTGCTGGCTGTGGGTGAAAAAGGCTCATGGAAATATTTAGGTCAATCGTCTCTCTGTCAAGCTGTCTGCTCTGTACACAAAGTACACATTCAGAGGAAACTGACAAAAAGTAAGTAGACATTCAGCTTCATTAAATAATGAAATACTTGTTTAAGATAGATAGATAGATTGCACATAATGCAAACATACACTAGGCAAAAAGCTTTATGTATGGAGAGTTTCATTCGAAAATGTTGAATATCCATTTGCAACAATTTTGGATATGACAAGGTTTTGAAAAGAACAACAGCTGATGAATAATTGAAAACACATTTTTATATCTCTAATAAAGGTGGTACAAATTATAATATAGCATCGATACCTCTTGTATGTGTAAAGTCCTCTCCAAACAATGTATATCATGAAAATATGACAATTTTTGAAAGTGCTCTATAATGTGTTTTGGAATGAAACCCTTCATATGACTGGACCAGGCTTAGACTGTGAATCATTGCCATACCTGCTTCTTTTGGCATATGTCCTGGTACTTATAAAGCAAACCCATCAGTTCAAATCATAGTTATAGTAGAAGCCAGTGAGCAGGTGTTGAAGCTCCATTTGAACTGTGGCAGGTAGAGTTGAGGTTGAATGAAGCCGGGAAATTCATTTTTTAAGAATCAGTTGAATGTAAACTCAAACTTCCACTTTGTTTTTTGTGTTTTTACTTCAGCCCAAGTTCCTCTGGCTTCTCCAGACCCATCTAGTGACCTTTGATCTGTGCACCATGACTGTAGAGAGCAGGCCAGAGGGCTTTAGTGAGCCCCATCCACTGCATGCTGCAAATGACCCGAAACCTCAACCTGCAGCCAAGTGCTGCTCCCCCAGTCTGAAGGTATGAAGCAGAGTAATACATACTGCACAACAACCTAGTAGAATATATAAAAATGAATCTATTTGATTTCAGTATGCCAGTACTTTTGGAGAGACATTATATTCCTAAGGCCCATCATCGTAACAATTACAGATACATATATTCTCCAAAGTGGCCTATGATGTGATCTTGATGTTTATGGATCATTCTGTCAAATTGGTTCAAAGTCAGACTTGAAACCACATTTTGGACTTTTAACTGACTTGGTCTTTAGACTAAAATCATTTTGCTCAATTCCTGCTCTAAAATGCAAGGATGTGTCTAAAATTAGTAATAAATATAGACTAAAACTGTTTATTGACATAAAAACGTGAGACTGAATTTTCAGAGTTTTTAACATTAAACTCATGATAAATTTAAACCTTTAAACTTTCATCCTCGAAAGAAATCAAAAAGATCTTTTTAAAAAGGGACATTGAAATATATTGAAAATTAGGAATTAGAGTTTGAAGCATGAATATGCTAGTCTTCATAACTTCAGAATCACTAGGCGGAGATTAAAGCATTATTTTCAGAAGCTGAAAATTTGTGTTTGGCCCAGCCACCTCCCAATATAAAGTCCTCTAAATAAATAATGATATATTGTGATGAAGTTTCACCTCCCGTAGAAGCCCAGAATTTTCGGGAATTTTTTTGGTATTTTGGGTCAATTACAATTACAACTGCAATTATGAAGTATTCACATGAGACAGTCACACATGCCATATGTTGTTATTTTTAGGAGACCCTGGGCTACATAGATATGCCATTGTTTGACATGTAAATGCTAACAGAAAGTTGATATCTTTATGAATTTTGGTAAAAATGTACCTAGCACCTGCAAAATTTTGCATTTTTTTGCATATAGAGATATTGAAAACAAGTTGCACCTCAGATACCTTTTCAGAAATTGTTAGTCTCGAGTGTCTGTGAGCTGAAACTGCATTGCATGTTGATTCATTCTATTGGTTATTATGAGTAAAAATAAACAATTTGCATAAGGCAGACATGTTTTTTATTGATTTTCTGTCCTCTTCATGCTGAGCGCTAAAACTTGGATACACAGCAAAACAGATTTTATTTTGAATAACTAATTGAGTTGCATATTTAATATAAGATATTTTTGATACTCAAAATCAATGTAAACTGAAAGCCCTTTGTTTATAATATGAAGGCCAAAAAGCAGAGCAATAATATTAGAATTTTGGGTGATTTTCTGAGCCAAATTACTCACTGATGCTGACGTCACAGCTCAATGATGTCACATTAGCTAGTTTGAGATGGTCTGCTGAATGTCCTGATATGTGTATCATGTCTGTAGCTTAAACCGTTCTGAAGTTATGAAGACTAGAAGTGACCTACCATTCAAAGATGCATATTTAGGAACCAACAAACCTCAAGAAAACAAAACATCGCCTCTCTTAGTCTAATCCAGACTAATTTACTGTCAGTTGATGGGTGAATTAGCTCCTAAAAATGATTGTGATCGGCTGAGAATTCTGTCAATCAGTAATTTGCAAAGTCATTTCCAGAAACACTACTCTGAGCAGAGGGCATGTGCACCACTGTTATTCTTCTCAGGTTTACTTTAGATCAAGCCGATTCGCTTCCACACATGCCAAGTACAAACTCACGCATGTGGCTCTGTAAACCTTTGTGAAAGAAAAATGCAGTTTTTTTTTCAAAGTATATTTAATATGAAAAGTACATACGGACTAAATTATTTGGGACAACGTATGACAAGTGTATTTAAGTTGTAATTAATATGTGATAAAATTTAGTTGTGTTTTGATTACTTTTTTCAAATAACATGTACTTAAGTAGATGTAAGTAAGTAATTTGTAGACATAACTGTTATTACACTTGGAAAATGTTATAAATGTACTGCTAGATATACCGATTCTGGATGCACTGATGGACTTATTGATAACCTATTGAGCTGTACTGTAACTAAAATGCATCTCAATCCATGTTAAATTGGATTTCAACACACTAAATCCACTTCAATGCACTCAACAAATGAAACATGTTTAAAGTGTACTAAAAGCTAACTAAGTACACATTTAAATATATTATCAAGAACTAAACACACCCTACATCATATTTAAGTCATGCTGAAATACATCTTCAAATGCTTTTCTGTTCTGAATCGGGAGAACTAATGTTGCAATGAAAGCAACCAGCAATTATTAAGACACAAATTCTACTGCATCAATTTTGAAAGTATACACTTAAGTGTACCAATACCACATATGATTGGTAGTTAGTTTGAGTTATATTGCAACTAAATGCAACTAAAAGGTTCTAAAGTAAACATTAAAGTCGTTGGTTTAAAATACACTTCTAATGATACACTTAAGTTGATGGCAATTAAATATACTTTGGTTTAGGTTTGATTCAGTGTATTACGAAATACATTTATTCATGTGTATTTACTTACAGCATTATGAAGTGTAATTTAAAACAGCCTATTTTTTATGGTGCAAAGTTTTTTAAAATATACTTTTTGTATACTTCAGATATATCTCCATAAAATACATCTTCTAAAAATGTACTTTTCCCTGTCTTGCAAATACACTATTGATATACTTAAGTATGCTGGTTTTTCACAAGGAAAGGATTATGTGGAGACAAAGTTACACTGTTGTGCAGTAGTTTCTAGATTTGTCCACAGTGAATAGACTGCTAACTGCCACATGCCTACTTTTACCTTCAGAGTTCACAGATTGTGATTATGTTTTTGAATGACACTCATGCTATTACATCTACACATCAAACATGTAAATAAAACTACAGCTTTGTCTGTTGTTTTCACTGGACTGCCCATCAGGCCGGCCCAGAAAGGGTATGTTCACTCACTGACTGACTGATTGACTGACTGAGTCACTTTCATGAAACGTGCATGCGTGAGGTTAGCGAGCCAGAGGACTGTTTCAGAAACATGCCGGGTGTCGCTGACTTCTACTTAAAAAGGTTTTGAAAAGTGTTCTACATAGCACCAAAAATGGTTCTTCTGTTGTTACAAGCTTGACATTGTAACAATAGAGGAACCATTTTTGGTGCTATGTAGAACGCTTTTCAAAAAAACCTCTATATAGTACCTTTTACAGCATATTCTCCATCAAGCTGAAGAATCATTTCATGATGCAAAGAACTCTTTAATCATGCAAAGGGTTCTGTGAGTGTTCATGGTTCTTCATAGAACCATTTTCTTTTCTAAAGAACCCTTGAAGAACCATGTTTTTTAAAAGTGTAGGCTTGCCTAGTCTTGTTTGGGGTAGATGTTTCTTTTTTGGGGGTAAATTTCATATGTTAAATTTTCTCAGTGGTCAGATTTTGATTTTGTTTACTTAAATGTAATTCAGAGCTTGTTTTGTTCTGTTTTGGTGTAGATGTTCATTTGTGTGCTTGCCTTCTGCAATTTCTCCAAATCTCTGAGTGGAAGCTACACTAAAAGCACCATC